CATGTTCTCATGAGATCAAAATGTTTAACACAGTGGGCCTACAAAGAGGGAAGAAGGATAGCAGGAAGGATAGATATAATGGTGAGGGGAAAATGATCAAAACATGACCAACAGAGATCTTAAAAAAAATACAGAAAAGAAAGTAGCTGTTTTGTCTAGATCAAAGACATCAGGAAGCTATAGGGACAATAAGAGGGGAAGGGAGAAAAACCCAAAGTGTAAAAGAAGGGGACACCCTCATCCAGCAAAGCATTTGCACAAAGGCTCAGGGTGAAGCTCAGCCTAAAGCTAAGCTTGAACCAGAGTTCATTGCTGGATTCAGAGGAGGGAAAACAATAGCAACAGACAGTAATGCTTGAGCAGGTACCCTCCAAGAACTTGCCATCTTAAAAAAAGATCTTTTAAATTTAATTTATTAGCTCTTTTTAGCCAAGCCTGTGATTTCAGGCTGTAAAACGTCACTGAAGAGGACACAGCAGCTCCTGCCAGATTTCACTGATTTCCGACAGACCACCTAAAGTGGGAAGAGACCATTTCCAAGCAGCTGGTCCCTAACATAGCCCTTTTGATCTTTGTAAATGTAAATGAAGAGTTGTGGAGAGAGCGTTTTGTCTGGGAGAGGTCACTGGCACCTGGTCCCTAGATGTGGCCTTTGGGGATATGTTTATCCCCACTATAAATGGGTTTGCCTATAGAAAGCACCTTTCCACTACTGAACTTGAGGAAAAAACACACAGTCAGGAATGTCCTTAGGACATTTTGGGTGATGAACTTTTACACACTTATTCTAAACGCCCATTAAAAATATACCTAAAAGGAAACACAAGAAAACAGAGTAGAGCAAACAAATTGCCCCCAAAAATCATTAACAAAAAGAAAAGTAACATTACCAAACTATATATATATATTGGTTTTCATTAAAAAAAGAAGGCAAAATGCACACCTACCGCCTGCAGTTCTGGTCAGGTTCTCTCTCTGCCCTCCCCAAAAAAAGCAAAAATTAGGAAAAAAATACAAATAAAATAAATTAACCTTTCCATTAGCCTGACTCCCAACTGAAACAATTTCTTCCACCGCTACTGTATTTCCTGAATATATCTGTTAGAAACCTTAAGAAAAAAGTCTGCAACTCTTCTGATGAACCTGAAAGTGGGATTTTGCCCCAATCTTTGCAAACCTGGAATTATTTTAACTGTAGACTTTCCATGTATTGGAGAGAGATGAGATGGTGTCAGGTACAGGTGTCCTTATCAGATGGTCAGAATTATTCCAGCTGACAAAGAGTGTTTTAATCTGGGATTGCTCTGGTTTAATGGCATCCCTTTCAACTTGAAATCAGCACTTTCTCCCTAACTGCAACATGAATTGCTTGGCATTTGGGTCTGCCTAATGAATGAGATAATATCATTCATTAGCTCTAATAACAATGGCTCTGGCTCACCAAAGTACTTCAATATGCAAATGGATCATTTAGGCCAAGGAATCACTCCCTCAAAGTCAAATACGAATTTTAGTGCTTGGGCAAAAGGGATTCCAAATGCACTCAGGGAAGTAGAGATGTTTTGTTACATTCAAAAGATAGGTACTTATTTTGGATTTGGGGTTTTTTAAAATAAATTGCAAGAACAGTGGTGGAAAGACACTGGAGCTTACACGTGAACAGAATTTAATCTTCAGTCATGGGGGCTGAGTAAAGGATGCCAGGTTTGCATGGCAGCTGGTAGGAAGTATCCAGCATTGTATATCCTGCCCATCAGGCAGTTGGGAGACATCCTCTAAACCCCTCAGCGTTTTGCCAAATCTTTATTTCCCTCTAGCAAACATATTAAAATGTGTAACAGTGGAACTGAACCTTTGCGATCCTTCTTTTCCATCTGGAAGTACATCTGTGGAGATGTACCCACAAAAGGACCTTAATGGACCAGCAGAAAACATTTCTGGAGGGCTCCAGACCAAGTACATCCAGCGTGTGCAGTGGAGACCAAAGCACAATTACAGGAAGCAAAGGAATTAGTGAAACCAGACTTTTTCCACACTCCACGTTTTCCTTGTCTGACAAAATATTTCATGCCTTCAGAATCCAGTATGGTTTTAAAAAAACCAAAACAAACCAAAGTAATTTCCTTATAATTAAACAGGAAAAGAAAGTTTGTGATGAAAAGGTTAAAGATGGAATCATTAATGATACAGATGGAAGTTTGTCATTGAGTAACCAGAAATAGTAGCAAAAATTGTTATCACATCCTCTCTAAGCAGCACTCCAAAGTGAACATGGGGGTTTCTCTGCTTCTGCTAAGAGAATTGCTCAAGAAGGGTTTCTTCCTTGGATGAAAGGATCTCCTTCCAGAAATAACGTCTATGTCTTGCACTCATTTATGCAGCCGCTGCTAGAAAATGAGCCTTATTCTTCATCTGAAGAGTCTGACCACAATAGTAGAATGAAGTGAAAATGACTAGAGAAAAAATATAAATGGTGTCATTCTCAACCCCTGCCACTGGCCTCTGGGAGAAAGGAGAAAGCAAAGCAGAAAGTGCTGGCATGCTGAGCTCCTGCAGCCCCAGCAGGCAGCATCTGGGCACACATTCCTGGTGCATCGCTGAGGAACTCTTCCTAAGCTCCAGGGAGAGAACTTGCAAAACATCTCCAGCAAATCTTCAGGAAGGTTCTCCTTCTCCTCTCACTCTACTGCCATTTCCCAAGCTTCTCCATCCTCAGACTCACTTTCTGGCTATCAGCCAAGGAGTTTGACCCTTGAAGTGGCAGACAAAAGATTTCACGTGAAAACAGCCAGGCAGAATTGACAGGAATCAACAGTGACAGCAGTCTGGTTACAGGTTTTAGTAGGGACAGAGCCTGAAACTAAACTGCCACACTCAAGGTGGTACAAACCCAGCTGCCCCATTTAGGTTTCTCTTGACAGGCAAGGAGCTTAGGTTTGGGAAGAGTAGCAGATTGGTGTGGTGACTGATTTGAGACCTCTGGTCTATCCCCAGCAGCTGATGAGACTGTATCCGTATCAGGGCTTTAGAAGAGCAGTACAAAATGATTATCTGGTACTTCAGTTAAAATCCCAGTCTATAATCTGCAGCAGCCATGGGGAACGTTTGTCACCATTTTCCAGCCTTTAGAACAGATGAGTGGGTACCCTACACATTTTCCCCAGTAGCAGGTAAGTCTTGGCCAACCCAGGTCAGGTACTTTCAAGAGTTCTGGCAATTTCATTTCAAAGTCCTTCACACCTCAGGCAAGAGCTTTTTCACAAATTTAGCAGCCAAAAAGCAGCCCAGAAATAAAACAGGTGCAGTATCACCTCAAGAGTCCTTTGCCTGTCAGGAGCTGTGTCAGGACGAGGTACCAGATTGCACTGGCTTTGCTCTTAGATCAGATAAAACCAAGCAACAACAATCCCATGCAGTGCAATGACAAATACCAGCTGCACAAAAACCATTCTACACAGACCAAAGGGAACAGGAAGCATTGGCAGGTTCTTCTAGGCATCTCTACATTTTTAAGGATTAAGAATAGCCAGGACTTTTAAAAGGGACTGAAGCATTCAAACATCCTATCTTGCAACTGAATGTTCAAGATCACAGCAGGAACTCACTGCTGCTTCTACAACCTTCTAAACCCAAAGCACCACCAATACACCTGTCTGAGTCTTTAGTAACTGTTTTAACCGGTGTGCAACCAAAATACAATTGAAACATTGGCTGTTCCAATCAATTCAGCTTCACAGTTGCAAAGCCGTCTAACAGGGAGCAGGGGCTTGTATTAACAACATCTATTACTGAGAAAAATAACAAGAATCTGTCAGTGCTCTGCAGTTCATTTCCCTTCTGTGCTATTTCAACTCCAGTCCACCAAGCATCTCATGAAAACATCATGCATGGAAACATTTCATCCCAAGGACAATGTTGGCATGAGAACAAACGGTTGTAAATACCATGAATTAGTTTAGGTTGAAAGTTGCAAGGAGTTTCGTAACTGTGAGAGCACTGCAGTCAGAACAGCCCGCAGGGCAGGGAGCGAAGGGACACAGGGCAGTGGAAACCTCACTGATTTTTAGATTAAATTCAATAAACTGCTGAAAGGGTGAGGTGACAGATGGGGTGCAGCAGTCAGAGGCTGGGCTGGGTTCCTTGGGCCATCCCCAGCAAAACTTTCCCTGTGTATAAGGGAACTACATCCCTTACTCTGTCACTTTACTCTGACAATGCTAAAAGGCTGTGTGGAATCGTCTGGAAAAATATCTGATGAATAGTCGGTGAACAGATGAATAGTTAGGTATGGAGGGGATCATGGTCATGACCCCTTCCACTGGCCAGCTGTAGCCAGGAGAAGCTGAATTCCTGTTGGAGTGGCAGCATCATGCAAAGAGCAGGACTTGGATCAGTCTAGCTAGTGAATCAGCACTTGTGTTTCTTCTTTGGGATCATTGAATGCTGATGGCTTTCCCCTGAAACTCCTGGGTTGCCCACTGTCTTTCCCCTTTACATAAAATGACGTGGATGTGTTTTAGGGAATAAATTTAGGCTTCCACTTTCCCCCTCATTTTCTAATGAAAGCACACTGTTATGTTCATTTCAGTCTGGTAGTATGTTCCTCTCTGGGTAGTTTAGACTTGAGACATCAACAAAGGTAGGTCAGGAGGGATAATTAAGATGTGCATATGCAAATGATAATTGCACACTCTGCAAATTTGCATGCAACCTTTGGTTAACATTTTAAAAAGCCATGTGGATTGATTTCACTAATACACATTTGTTAGGATATCATCAAGGTATGCTGCATTATGCTTAATTTTAAATGAGGCTTTAATTAAGCTGCTTGAAGGCCTACAATTTAGAAAGGGATTAGAATTTCTTGCCAACCAGGGCTCGTTGTCATGAGGGTTATTCCAGTTTATGGGAGGATAATTATAAATCACGGAGTCTCTACATTCCCAGTGCACAGGGACTACCACGAGCAATTGAAGCAACACTTCAATTCATCACAACAGTAGTGTTCATATCTCACTTTAATAAAAAACACATAATGTTTTGAAATACTCTTGAATTGTCCAGCTTGAAAAATGAAAATGACCTTTAAATCTATACAGGGCAGTTCCTTTGGGCACTTTTAATGCAATAATTTATTAAGTTCCTATATTTATCATGTATGCACAAATACCATGTAAATATTACAGCTGTACTCCATGACAAAACAAGCATAATGCAGACATAGAATCATACAGAGAACTGACAAATGGAAAAAAAGGGAGATCTAGTATTTTCTGTACAAAAAAATACCACTTTTTGATAATTTGTAAAAATGCATAACTTTTGGCATTTCAGAGAAAAACACTGTATAAAAATAAATATTCTATGTACAGTAACACACACAGGCCAGTCCAGGGTTAGAATCATCACTGCAAAAAAAAAAAAAAATAAACAAGTGTTAGTGACAACTCATTAACAAGTGTTAGTGACTGCTCACAAGGGGGAAGGACACCCTAGGGAAGCTGGCTCTGGGGTCTCCAGGAGGAAAAGCAATGGTGATGGATCTCAGCAGGGATTCTTTCCACTTCCCCAGGAGGGAAACTGAGGGCAAAAGGTTCATCCCTGTCTGATTCTGCCTCCACTCTCTTCGTACCACTGAGGCTTGAGCACTTGGCATTAACACCCACAGCAAGCACTGAAAGTGGGCCAGACCCTGGGGAGTGCAGGAGGGGTCTGAGGCAATCCAGGTGGAAATCTGTAATCTTTGTGCAAGGATCAGAGTGCTTTGGGGCCAGGCAGCTCAAAGGCCACAGATAAAGTTCTCTCCTTTGTAGCCCATAGAGCTGAACTGTGATATACAAAAAAGGAGGAGTTTTGCTTGCCACTTTTCAGGGGTACAGTCCTGGAAATCCCATTCATGCATCCACACCTCTTCTGCTCTTAGCCAGATTAATGAAAAAATATTAGCAGGACCCGTGGCACTGCCAACTCAGCACAGCAACGTTTCCAGGATTACTATACCTTATTCCAGCAGCCCTGAACTGGAAGGCCATCTTCCCCCTGCAACAAAGATGGATGAAATAGCAGTTTAGGACACAGAAGGCAGTATAGAGAATGGAGAAAGGAAGGCACAGGTTAACTATTACTGCAACAAACAGTTTGAACCAGGGCTGGAGGAATAGTCTGAGAGATATTCCTCACCCTTTGGAGTGACCCAGACTTCTGGCTGGCAGAACCAGTGCAGCCTGAAGCAGGGGCTGGGGTGAAGAGGGGAAATGCCTGCAGGCTGTGCAAGGGACTTATGTACATGAGAACCACTCTACCCTAAGAAAGGAGTCTATCCAGCCTTCCTTGAAGGGAGAAGGAATACAGGAGGTCCAGCTCAGCTAGAAAAACACTGCCAGGGGCTGGCAGTGGGAAATGTGAGGTGGCTTCTCTGTGTCCTCAGGCATGGCTCTGTAACACTGAGCTTAAAAGCAAAACCTAGAGTGAGCACTAACTTCAGATCCTGAGGAGGGTCTGGAAAAAAACTCCATTTCTTTCCTGCTCTGTCTGTTAAAGGGTTTGCTTTGTCATGTGAGATCCTGCCCAGCATCCTCCTCTTGCCTCTGGGGAGATTCTGTTCCAGGGAAACTAGGAAGGCAAGCAGTTGGGCAACCCTTCTGCTGGTTCAGGATGTCTCAGCTGATTCTCTGAAAAGGGGCTTTGGCTTCAATAACATCAGCAGGATTTCTGTGAAAATTCCCGCAGCACTTTTGCAACCTGGATGTCTTGGGCTCCACGGCCCACACTGGGTGTGTTATTATTTTTTGTAATGTTGAAGAAGGCTGAACGCTTTAAGGCTGTGGTACTAAAAGATAGAGTCTCCATGGCTGAGAAATGCTTTTGTAAATGACTGCCATTCATTTCAACCCCGAGCAGCCCTCTTTGATGGTCTGGATGTGACATCATTGCTAAGATGCTCTGGAGCGGGAGCTTAAGTCGGAGGTCAGGAGACAGATCTCTGACATGAGAAGTCAAATACTTGTGCTGTGTGCACATGGCAGATTCATAAGCTATTGCTATTCCCCAGGAAACCCCCAAAAAATACAAACAGAAAAGCAAATGCACAGTTGTATATTGAGAAATAAACTATTTAACTGAGATGCACTTCCAGGGGTCTGATGAACTGAACGTTGCTATGATGCTATAATAACATTGCTTTTCAAATTAAATTTTTGGACTACGGTCTCCTTGTGCTTCTTGTTCCCCTTCCCCCAACTATGTGAAAATATGGAATTACAAGTTAATTATTGGGTAAATTGTGGTGTTCCCATTGGTACACTGGTGGTGGTAGGAATGACTGGTGTAGTGCATGGCAGGAGGAGATGGGAAGTTAGGTGTATGAAGGAATGGGAGGCCAGGGAGCTGCAGCTTAGGGATCAAAGGAAGACCAGGGTCACAAGGAAGTGTTTTTGCGGGTGGATGTGCTGAGAATGGAAACATGACATGCTTATTAGTACCAAGGATCTCCTTCCACATATCTCAGATGTGCAAAGAGTTAGTTCACAGCCTTCATAAGCTACACACACGGATGTGTGAGCTGGATGCTAAGCTTTTAACCTAGTTGGATCTGAAAACATGCTTATTCACGTTCCCAAGCTAGCTTGCATGCCAGAAAACTATGTATAAAAAATAATAGCATTCATATTTAATCAGATTTTCTGCCAAGTTTCTCTTAATGAAAATAAAAATGGCCATGTGGGGTGAATGCTCACTGGGAGCAGTGACAAAATCAGAAATGTCGTCTGCCAGGGCACGGGTAGAATCCTTGCACCTGTGAAATTAGGTACCTTACTCAGCCAGAAGTTACTCCATAGAAACCTGGCTATGAGCAGTGGGAAACAAAACACATGGTTCTGGGGTCACCCTCCTTTGTGAACTGTTCTGGGCAGGTATGGTTTTATCTGTGGTGCTGGAAGAAGTTTCTACTACCCAGAATTAACAGAGCAGCAACTGAGACCTTACCAATAGTCAGTATTTGAGTCACTGCCCCAAAGAGGCAATGGCAGCTCTCAAACAAGGGAATGCTGGAAAGAAAACTGTTAGCTCTTCACATAGTTTAAACAACAAAGGCTTTTAATGCCAATTTCATGGCTGCTTTTTCCCTCGGGAAACTAGGAAAACCTTCCAAACTAAATGTGGCTTTTTGCTTTGCAATGCATTTTGCCAGCTAGTTAAACTAACAATATCCCATCCCTTGTAGAAGGCATCAAACATCCTTAAATGAGTATAAAGCTTGGAAGGACCGTCCTCAAGCAGACCTCACCTAACAGGTGGGAGTACAAGTTTCTTTGTATTACTGAGATGTTGAGACTCTGCTAGGGAGCAAAAACGTTACTGAACGCTACAGCTCCAGCGAATCTCAGACAAAATTAATAAATTGGTGAGTTTCACTGGGACACTTAGAAATCAGCTGGAGTTATGTGTTTCTGAATACTCTTGTCCTACAGCAATTGGGCTAGATCAGGCAATACTACAATAATCATTTTATCACTTGAATAAGATGGCTATTGGTAAACAGGTAATTCCCAATTCAAGTTTTTTGGATGCTATGGGTGCAATTTCAACTTTTGGGGAGAGTCATAAATAGGAATTATCCAGCAGGGAGATTAAGTGTCCCTGTTAATATATTTCACCTGGGCTCACTAATGGGATAACTCTTATTTTCAGTCATCTTCATGTATAAGGTGACTGAGGCCATATGGAACCATGTCAGGCTTTGTTCAACACACACAAGCATTTGAAACTTGTGAGTTAATGAAGTATACAAGCATTGCAGGTCCTTGTGAGGAAGCCAAGCCAGAGCAGAGCTGGGTCTGCGTGCATTGGATTACTGGAAGTTGTCAAAGTGAAGGCAAAGGAAGAACTGAAGCAGTTGTAAATAAAACCGCATTCCAACTCTATTTTTCCTCACGACACAAAGTCTGCTGCCAGCAGCTGGGAATCAGCATGAAGGGAAAGGGGCTGGTTCTGACAGCAGCAATGAGAGGAAGGGAGGATGAAGACTGGTGAGGAAGGAACTGCCAGGTGTTTCTAGGGCATGCAGCTGTTTGGGGAGAACAGAAAATAACACCAGAGCCAAAAAGCAAACAAGCATGCAGGAAAGGGAAGGTACACCATACCAATGGGCATGGGGCATCCAGGCCGTCCAGCCCAGGTAACCCCGGCTCACCCTTCTCGCCTTTAAAACCTCGGAGACCCTGTTTATGAAATCAACCACTATCGTTATTTCAGTCAATGCCAGCCAGCTCTGTGTCATGGGAGGAGAGGCTGAGTCCCCACTGGGACTGGCATAGGGCACTTTGCTGCACACCAAGCACAGGCTCCTGTCTGCACAGTGAGCTGTGTCTGCACAACCAGCAGGAGCAATTTCTTTTCTGGTTTTCTGTCATCTACAAACCAGGAGATATTTTTCTGAGTTAAAGCTCAGAGGCTGGGAATGGCATTTCTTCCACTCCAAGATCATCCATTCCTCTGATGCTCACTAGCAAACCCAGCAACTGGATTTCTAAATGCATGATTCCCAAGTACTCCTGGAATTTGTGGCACTGCTAGGAGATTTTTGGCAGCATTTGCTGCAGTGTATGAATTCAGATAATAATGTACACATATTCCTGTATTTAGTCATTTGCCTAGATCTATAGCCAATCTGTTTTGACAGAAACACATCCCATTTAGGATAACTGAGACTTGTTTTCCCTCTGGTTAGTGAAGCTCAAGTGCCCTGTGCGCTCTCAGGCCATCACATCAGCTGGCTGTTATTCCAAGGCAAGGAAACCAGCATTCCAGTTTTGCTGTCAGGTAGATTTGATCTCATTGAGCATCTCCAGAGACGAGGCGTAACCAGCAGCAAAGGAATCAGGGCTCTATCCACAGAGGAGAAAGCCCTGGGCTCCCAGCACATGGGACACCCCACGTACACCAAACGTTTGTGAGGTCTGGAAGAGGAAGGAACATAACCATGGTCACTCAGCAGCCTGATCTCTCAGATGATTGGTTGGTCCCACAGCTTTGCTTCAGGCTGTGGTGGGAACCACAGCCATATCTGAGTGTTGTACTTTTGCAAGACCATTATTTATGTTATGATTTCCTTCTGTCTTCCCCATCAACACATCTTAAAACAATACATTTGATGAAACAGGACATACCAACGGACAGGGTGCATCTAATCCAGGTGCTCCTTGGTCTCCCTTATCCCCTTTAGACCCTCTAGAGCCTTTCTTGCCCCTCTCCCCCTGTAAATAATAGTTTAGTCCGAGAAAAAAAAAAGAATACACAAAAGCTTTAGGATCATCCATTTCAAACAAAAGTCAGCGATAGTTTAAAAAAAGGATAAACATTTAGGAAACATTTTAAAATCTCCCTCAAGAGATGTTAAATGAAGATCAATGTATGGAGCTGCTGAGCTGTAACTGAGCTGCATAAATACCCTGGCTGTGGCTGCAGTCCCTCACTGACAGACTGTGAGGGCTCACCATCAAAGGGATCATCACACGACTTCTCGGGGCTCCCCATACATCAGACAGGGGCACTTTGGAGAACTGGCTGACCCCAGACACACAGGATGGAAAACCACCCTTCTGACCAGCAGGGTGCCACATCATTTCAATCTCCAGCTGGCTGGGAATGTCTCTCTACCACTGGAGCACTTACCACTCTGAACTCCCATTCTTTAAATAAAGTCTCACTCAGGGACTCTCAGACAGGGAATAAAGGAAGTACTCAGAACCGAGAGTCTGCACAGTCTGGGTGTCCTTTGGGATGTTTTGAGTAGTGCTCTCCCAAAAAAACTGTTAGACCAGGGACTAGTCCTAGGCAGCACAGCCACAGGGCAGTGACTGGTCTTTGATCTTTAACTGGCAGCACAAGGCAGGGCATAGTGTGGTATTTGTCAGTTATATCCATCTTTCTGTTTAACAGACAAAATTCTCAAAGCTGCTGAGCATGAAATGCAGAAGGGGCTGCTGCACAGGGAACTGAAGTTAAGGTCCTTGTGGGGAGTGTTAAAAGAATTAAGGGATACAATCAGCACAGGCTGCTGCTTCTCCATTATAGAAAAAAAAAAAAAAAAAAAAAAAAAAAAAAAAAAAAAAAAAAAAAAAAAAAAAAAAAAAAAAAAAAAAAAGGTGTTAACCCCAAAGCTTGCAACAGAAATGGATGGGAGGGGAGAGGCAATGAGAAGTCACCCAGAACCAAGCACTGGAATGGAGAGGACAAATCCAGGAGAAATACAGCACGGGTTGCTCTGGAGGAAGGAACCAGGAAGAAAGGCAGAAGAGGAGGAAGGGATAAAGGAGACAAAGGTGGTCCTGTGGGAGCGAGGAAGATGCACATACACACAAGGAAAAAAACCCACAGGCATTAAAATAACAGCAGGACAAAAGTTCAGGGTTCACACTTTTACAGCTGGGTCACACAAAATGCCACCTGTTCCCACTGCCCTTAGTGCCATAACCCATAGCTATGCTGATCTCCAAGCAGAAAGCAGCAGCAACATTTCTGCCAATTAAAAAGCCTACAGGAAAAGAGAAGATTTTTGCCTAGGACCTCAGAGTAAGGGGAAGTCCCTCCACATGGGCTCAGTGGGAAAAGGGGCATTTTCTAGTGTCCCTTAAGATTTTGAACTTGCTCATTTACACTCTTGAGTTTCTCACACTTTTGCATTGCAAACTATGGGCGACAGTGAGGCAGAGTGCATGCACGCCTCAAGGGGCAGCAAAACTCCCCACTCATGCTTTCCTACTCATCCTCTACAAAGAGTTGCAATTTCTCAGTTTTCATTTGCTTTTATGCCAGAGCTCAGATTAATCCCATCTACAGCTAATGAAAGATCCTTCTCTTTGCTAAGATACTCAGCCTAAAAACCAATTGAAAACATCTAAGAATTAAAAATTGCATTTTTTAGAACCCATACGAGCAAAACAAAACACGTTAGTGAAGAGGAAGTTAAGAAGCAAAGCCAGAAACGCAGTGATTAAAAAAGGGGAGAACTTCAGTGCTTCCATGAAACTTGAACCTTTCTCCCCTAGTTTAAGATGCCAGTTGGCTACTGCTGTCCAAAACTGTCCTTTCTGTGCAGAGTAAGGTCAGAAATCCATTGCAGATAGAGGACAGAGAACACTCACTATTCATCAAAAGCAAATCCATACAATGAAATCATCACATGGGCACATGCACTATAAATTTATCTGAAAATGTAAATGTTTAAGTGATACCAGAGTCTTATGGGTAGAAGGTGTGTATGACTACACTTAGATTGAACTTCTTGACATTTATACAATTGTAATATTATGAAGACTGGAATCCAAAAGTAATTTGTATTTCTAAATATAAATTGTATTCAACCATAGCTCCTAAACATTTTTATCAAAAAGATTCAGATTCAAAGCCTTAACAGGCAAGGAAATAATTTAAAAAAAATTATAAAAACCAGGAGTTTCTCAACATGCACTCCTTTGTGATGTTAATCCTTCTATATCACAGGTGGCATGATGGGAAAGCTGCCATTCCTGCTATTGCGTTTGGGCCAGCTCTTCACCATCACATCTATTCAGGACAATGCCTGAGGAGGTTTCATGTCTGCCTCTTCAAAGCAGGCAAATTTAATTTCTTTTTTTCCAAATTTACATCTTCCAAATTCTCTGCAGGATTGTTTGCTAGAAGACAATTTTCTTTTTCATCCTCTGGGTACAATTTAAAAGTACTGAAATATGATTTGCTGGCTGCACCGCAGCTAACTTTCCCAGGAACCCCACTAAGTAGAGAAGCAGGAGTTCCTAAAGCACACCATGTTGGTCTAACTAAATCCTGTGCTTCAGGAACAGAGTTTGTGACAACAATGAACACATTAAAAAATCCCTCCTCCAGCCTTGGGAGAGATGTAGCACAATGTCCCAGGTGATGGAATGAGCCACAGGTGTCATCCTCTAAAACATAGGTGTTGGAAGTTACTTGGATGAAGGTCTGGCACACAAACCCATGCTGGCTACCACAGGAGCTCAGGAGTGAACTGGGCTGTCCCTGTGTACAGTGTTAGGAATTAAAGAATTTAATACCAGGAGTTTGCCTGGTAACTTACCCGGGCTCCCTTGTCACCAGGTAGACCTTGTAAACCCTGAAAGTCATCAACACAAAATTAACTATTTTAAAACAAGCAGGTTTCATTGTATTCCCACTAAAAAGAACAATGTGTGCTGAGGGGTTTGGTTTTTTTTTTTCCATTTGTACCAATGGCCCTATGCCAAAAACAAACAAAACTTTTCCAGCAGACAACCTCATCCTCACCTCTATCAGACCATCCAAGCTGTAACACCACAATATATATAATATAAATACTAATAATAGTATTTATACCAAGGGTTACTTTCAGTTAAGAAACAAAATAGTTCTGAGAATGCAGCAAGCTTCCTTTTTTGCGCTGAACAACAAAGCAGCTCCATGACTGCATTAGACCAGAGTACCAACCCTGGCCCCATTTTGCAAAAAGCAATCCCAGACAGTGGAATAATCTCACTGAAGACAGCTTTTGTCCCTGCAATGACAAAATAGGGCCCTCCCAGGCAGGTTGGAGGCAGGCACCCAGGCTATGTAAGGTAAAGAGAGCAGATGTGCTCAAAAGCAGCATTTTGGACTGGGATACACATCCTGGGAGTCCCAAACAGCTTCTTTAGGTAGTTCGAAGACCAAGATGAATTAACAGCTTCCTTTAGCCTCCTCCACGTCGCTCTGAGTCTGCTCTGAAGCTACTCAGCTTTTGCTGTCACTCCCATAGAGAACAAAGTCTTGTCACATGAGTTATACCTAACCCAGCTGTGACAGCAAATACTGTATTACAGCAGCATCTTCAGCTGAGAACCACAGCAAAGAAACAAGCTCTCAAGAGAAACTCCTAATATTTCTGAACTTACAGGATGCCCTATTGGCCCCATTGGTCCTGCAACTCCAGGATCTCCTTTACTGCCCTGAAATGGAAACAAAGGAACAGAAACTGTTAACATTCCTATTCAGTCCAAACAGGCAGCAGACCACCACAGAAGAAAAAGCAAAGGATGCATTTCAAAGCACCTAAAAACCCCCAAGGATGAGACACTCAGAGGCCCAGCTGAGGGTCTTGAATGCTCAAGAAGAGGGCAATTCCAGCTCTGGAAAAGCCTAGAGCTCCTTTATTCCTCAGAGCTGTTGTATCTTCAGAGCAGTTACGGAGCATCTGTCAGTTCTGAAGCAAACTCACCCTTTCTCCTTTTGGTCCTGCTGGTCCTGAAACCCCAATTGGTCCTGGAATACCCTGCAGTTACAGGAAGGAAAACACATCAGGATGTTTTTATTCCAGGGCCTTTTTAAAGCCAAGAGACACTGCTGCTCCTTTAGGAAAAGCACAGCTTGGAGGGACAGTCTGGTGGTGGAGAGCACGTAGCACTACTACAGCTTTCAGTGTTGGTGGAGATGGATTTGAAGTGGTTGGTACAGGCAATTTGAAGAACATGGGAACTGCTATATTATATCACATGAGTACCACTGTTCAGAGCCTCATTTTTAATTCTGAAGCTTGCTCTTAACAATTGTTTCAGAAGGCATTTCTACCAGCTCCACAGACAGGAATTCTTTCTCTCTATACCAGACAAGGCTGAAAGCTGTAGCAGAATAAAGGCCACTTACACACATGATAAGCAATTCTCTTTTCTTTTTGTTTATTACCTTGTTTTCTTTCCCTCCTCCCAGAGTCAGTGTAGTTGAGCAAAGTGGGAAGTGTTGGGTCAGTCATTCATGCAAGCTGACCTTGCCTCAAAGCAAAGGGTCTTGCCCTATTTAGTATCAGTCTGAAATCCTTAGTCACTAAGGAACCCCTCTGACAGGGGAAGGATGGCTCATGTGAATCAGGAGAGCTTTTCAGAGAAGCCAAATCTGCAAGTATACAAGTGGAGGAGTAGCTCATGCAGCACACAACTTCAGCGTGGTGAAGGAAGAGAGGAAATCAGGCTCTCCTTAAATTCATGCAACAGTGGAAATCTTAATTGCTTGCACTTATGCATGATTTAGTGCCATGGAATACATTGAAATCTCCCCTGCACATGTATAAAATTATATCTACAGTTTCCCCAAACAAGTGACTGTGTAAGATGCCATTCAGAGTCAGAGCAGCTGAATTATTCCCAACTACCCTGAGGAGGAGAAATTGCCTTTTTTTTTTTTTTTTTTTTTTTTTTTTTAATAGCCAAATGGATTATACATGGTGATCTGATTTCCCAAGATTTCCTTCTGATTTCCCAAGAGGGACTAAAAATATTTGGCTGTTATTTAACAGCTGTTATCCGAGAATAGAAGAGTGGTTTGCAGAACCAGGTTGGCATTACTTAGAATCACAGAATGGTTTGGCAGGGACCTTAAAGATCACCTTGTTCCAAAAGTCTGCCATGGGCAGGGACACCTTCCACTATCCCAGGCTGCTCCAAGCCCTGTCCAATCTGGCTCAGAATATTTCCAGGAATTGAGCAGCCACAGCTTCTCGGGAAACCTCTGCCAGTGCCTCACAGTAAAGATTTTTTTTCTTAATATCCAATCTAAACCTACTCAATCTTTCATTTTGAAGCCATTCCCCCTTGTCCTACGACTACAGTTCTTGATGATGAGTCCCTGCCCCATCTCATGGAGAATGACAGGTTGGAGACCCCTCAGGATGAAGAGGACAGGAGAACAGAGCATCATGGAACCATGCAGAGGTTTCATTCATCTTGTTACTGAGACAGAGTGGAACAAGTAGGCTGTGACCCCAGGATCCAGACTCATAGCATCAAAAAAGACAAGCATGTGACATCACTCCTCATTTTAACTCCCCTCCCAAGCCTGCTTTGGTAAAAATAAGATTGTTCCTGGTGTAAACAAGACTCAGGTGGAAGACACAAAATGAGTCACAATACTGGAGAGGACAAACGTGGGGTAACAGAGAAACAGAACTCACCGGTGGTCCAGGCCTGCCGTCTAAACCTGAAGCACCCTGAACAGACGGGGAGGGTTTACAAAAACAAGGCAGAGGAGAGGGGAGGAGGGTGAGGGAGAGGGGAAGGGAGAGGTGAGTAAAGCAGTGACTTGAGACAAACATACATTTGCAATAAACAAAATTTAAGATCTCAAGGAGAGGTGATGGTACTACAAGCAAATCAACAAAAACATACAAACACTGAATACACGTAATGTTGACCTGCAACTTTCAGATCCTCTTAAGTGCACATAAATTTCCTTCTCTCAATGCCACCAGGAAAACTGCTGGAGAATCAGCTGTTCTGTGACAGGTGGTGAAAAGGACAATGTGACAGTGGAGCTGGAATCTGCATTGCCTTTGTGGCAGGCTGGGCAACACAGGTGAGACACAAGGCTCAGAGGCCGGTGGTCACAAAGGCATTTACAAGCAGTGCAGAGCCATCAGCTGTTCAAGTTCCCACCAAGAAATGCAGGGCCTGTTGGTGCACACTAAGTCAGCTGCAGGCTTGCTCCACTCCACATGCAGTTGTTTGGGGGCTTAGGAAACAGGTGCCTCATCTCCCTGTGTCACCAGTGCAGATTTACACCACACTGGGATCAAGTGGCACTTTTCTGTCTGCTTGGCTCTTGCCCTGTATTTCCTAATCCATAAGATCTAACAGTGGTTCTGCCCAAGGCACAACTACCCCAATGGTTTGTCTCTGACAGAAGCTGGGAGAGAAAGTTGTGGTAGGATAAAAGTACCAAATACTGAGTTTCCCTCCACTTGAGCATTACAGACTCCTAACCCTTTTGGCCATAGAGAAGTCCAAACCTACTGCAGACAATCAGGACTGGAATTCCAGTGTGATGTCAACCCCCAAATCAGAGAGGAAAAGGCAGCAGTTCCAGTTTCAGAATTTTACAGTCTGAACTGTTTCAGAACCCGCTTGGCACTGCATTTAGTTTGACAGGTTGAAGACACACTGGACCAGGCATGGAAAAACTTCTGAACAGAGTTCTGTGGCTCTAAGGAAGGATACACGTTCCACAGTATCTTACTAGCTGTGCTTCCTGGTTGGCCAGCTGCTACTGCTGATTCAAACACAAAATATTTCTAAGAAGACACTTCCGAACCATTCTTCCCCCACTCCACAGCTCAGGAAGAGTGATGGGAAAAGCCAAGGGATCTTTGGGCCCCTATGGGGCTCACTGCTGTCACAGAAGCAGCTAGCACATTCCCTGACACTCTGATGAGCTTGTCGGGATAATTGCTGGGGCACCTTCTGCTCAGACTTTCACAAGAATCTGCTTCCCCCGTCCGGATGCTCCCTGGTCTCAATTGAGGGAATAACCATTTACACAGAAAACCTTCATTAGCATTTCTCAGGGGACTGGGTTCTGACTTCTTACTGCTTCCCTGAGGCACAATCCCTTGTCTTTGAGCCTCCCAAAAAGTCTGCTTTCTCCCTACTGTCTCTGCCTGGAGCCCCAGGGAATGCGCTCATGCTGAGCTCAATTGAGTGCCTAGAGTTAGAGAGGATTCATCCAGGCTCAGAAGGGAACTACTGCTCAGAACCACTAAAGGAGGAAAACATTTTACAAACAAAGACACACACATTTCAGCCAAAGTCAGGGACAAGGGATCTGGGTGGTCAAACACAGGATGACAAAGTCACACAGTACACGAGATGCACTCTGCAGTGCTCATTCCAGGCACCAAATTTGGGAAAGGGAGAAGGTCTACTGTGCCACCAGTGCTTTTTATGATGAGAGAACTTGGGGGCTGATGGAACAACTGGGTGAGACTAAGTTACCACCAACTCATCATCAGGTTTGTATCTAAAGGTCCTGCAAGTTCTCTATAACACATTGTGCCCCAATTCCTCTTGCTAAGCCAAACAGTGCACTAACACCAGGCTAATCAGACTGAGTTCACACACAGCTTGGACACGGGTCAGGGACAGCACTGATTCCATGGCAGAAGTGTCAGGAATGGTTCAGATATCAATGGAGCTGATTTGCATTAAGAACCACCACACTTTGTACAAAGCTTAGCCCAGGTGACAAATGGCTGGGGAAGGCTTTTCCCTTTCCACATCTCTGACTTCTGTTTCTGGTCTTGCCCTGAAGTGCACAGAACCCCCAGGAAAGCTACTGCTTGTTATTCCCAGTCTTGCCAGAACCAGGAAGAAATAAAGACTGCTGATCTATTAAACAGATCTAGAAGTTGAAGGCTCAGTACAGAAATTGAAGCTTTGAGTTTAAAAAGCAAAGGCACAATTATTTATAGACCATCTCTTTATCTGACTTTACATACCAAATCCCCACGTGCGTCTCCTATTGAGGGATCTTTTTACAGCTGATATAAGTTTGGCTCACAAAATGCTGCTTGCTTCCTGGATACTTACGGGTAATCCCAGTGGCCCTCTGTCTCCTTTTTCACCCTGGGCACCCTTCTCTCCTTTCACTCCATCAATCCCTGCTTCCCCCTAAAGGAAGGATGGAGCAGAAAATAAACCCACTGTAACATCACTTATATAACAAACATTCCTCCCTTCAGAGAGCGCCGGAGCAGCAGAGGGAATACAAGAGGAAGCAGAGTAACACTTCAGCCTCATTCTCAGCCTAATTTGAAGAAAACCACTGTCAGTCAAATTACCTCTGTGTGAGCACCTGTTTTAACTTAATGGCAAAGATAGGAGACTCAGACCCTGTGGGTAAAGATGTTCAGAGGTGAACTGAGCTCACTCCAGTGCTGCTCTCCCTGCTGGTGTGACTGTATACATATTTATATATAAATATATATAGCCAGAAGTTATCTGATATGGTGGGTTTACATTATAAGATGTGGATCCACTGGAAGTGAATGACAGGTGTCTACAAGCTTTGAAGAAAAATAATGTAGAAACAATATTTGGAAAGACTTTTGTAAATTATAAGGCATCAGTTTAACATTTCAGAAAAAAAGTAATTTCAGCATTCCTTTCCCAACTGCATTTTTTAAATTCTGTTTTATAAACTATAAAGCAATACGAAACAAAATATTCCTTTTTCTTAAATTCAGAATGTAGCCCAAAGCCTTTTCCTCCCTCAATCCTGTTCATAAGGCTTTTTAAAACGTACCCATCCCTTTTAGCATCCAAACAGTGCTGATGGCCAAATACTACGGATAATCAGAAGAATTAAGACACTGCACATTTTCCAGTCTTTGCCCAGAATGTCACCAGAAAGATGCAGCTCTCCTTGAATATTTCCACTCAACTACTTTTTGTCTAGGAGCTGTTTTACAGCAGGCAAGCCAGTGGTGCAGGCTGAGCATTTAGATGCAGATTAGAAAGATTCTCACCACCAAGGACAGTGAAGTTCTTGAGTGCTTTACACCAGAATGTACAGGGTAATTTTAAGACTAATTTTAAGCTAGAGCTCAGTTCCTTAGGACTGTGTGCAGACTATTTGTCCCACTGTACAGACCTCCACCCTTCAGACAAAGATTTCAGCTATGCTCTCAAGGGAACAATTCCATGGGGCAGTGACTTCTCACTTCTCTGTATGAAAACTAGAGGGAAGGACTATTTTTCTGGGTCCTAAAATGAGAGCTGCTAATCCATTTCCTTCAAGAAAATATCCAGAAGGATCTATCCTCTTACCAAGATGGAAGAAAAGTACCACCTGAATACTAAAAAGTTGTTACTGAAGGGAATTCTAGCACCTGGGACAACTTTAGTTACACCTCAGTATGTAATGCTTTGTACCCTTACCTTGGGTCCTGGGATGCCCTGAACACCCTGTATTTGGGATGAGAAACAAGATGTAAGTAATTTCAGGATGGGCTTTAAACTCCAGGTATCCTAGTCAAGTGTGCAGTGCAAAGGCTTAGCTTTCTCGGGGTACAAACACTCAGCCCCAAGGCCTCTTCATTTGCGCAATGGGCACTTCACATATTGTTCCCATGTCTAACAAGGAGGCTGTTGCCAAGCACAGCCTGGCAGGGGGCCAGGTGTGCTATTAAGACCATTTCTGCAGTTGATCCGTTTAATCCCATCCATCCCATCTTGCTACTGTCTTCCCTTTTATCTCACACTAACATAACCTTCTTTCTTTGCCCACCCTGCCCACCGTAGCTGTGACCTACCCTGGGCGTGGGTTTGGAAGCGACACTAAGCATGCTCCCATTTCAACACCTCAGTGGTTCTGGTCTTCTCACAGAATCCTCTCCAGCCACTGCCTGCTCTATCCCCATTCCCATTGCCTTGCTCCTCAGGTGAATTATTCAAACTTACCGGAGGTCCTGGAGGGCCTTGGGGTCCAGGGGGCCCAGGTATCTAGAAAGCAATGCAAGAGAAGTCACCATCAATGTGCTGCCCTCAGGGGCAAAGTGAGACTACTCAGAGGAAAGGACACAGGGTGCAGCAGAGCTCCTCTACCAGGCTGGGAAACCAGCACTCCACCTAAGCACTGCATTAGGAAGCAGCAACAATGCAGGACTCAGTGGCTGGGGAGGGTTATGCAGCAGTTGCAAACATTTAAGAGGAGGGAAAGCAGTAAGGTTTTCTCCAAAGAAAGATCCACTTCCACTACTCTACTACTGCTCCTACAAGGAGGCATAAGGTCAAAAGAGTAAAAGATAGGGAAGAAAACAGCTGGCTCCACTCATGTCATCAGCCTGTGGGACTCCTGACAGGGTACTCCAAAGACAGGGATGAGCAAGCTCAAGAACTGTAAAATCTATTGAAAACCCCCACCCCAAACACGTGTGTATATATACAAATGCAAGTGTTGCTGGAAAATCCACTTACTGAAAATGCTGAGGAAAATATTTGCTATTTTTTCCAAGATGTTCTGTCCTTCCCTAGGCATTTCTCATTGACTGCTGGTTGTGAGGGAGATTGTGCCAGGGAAAGGAGGGCATCAGGAGCCAGAGGTGGCTGGTGATGCAGTCCCACAGCATGAGGCTTGCAGTCCCCAGTGAAGGGGTGTCACCAGAGGATGGGGTGTGCCTGTTTCCAGCAGCACTGCTGCCAAAGTGTCCCTCCCCTACTGCCAAGATCGCAGAAGGAACATGAGAAAGGCGACCTACCAATTCTCCTGGGTTTCCTTTGTCTCCACGCTGCCCAGGCTCACCCTTCTCTCCCTGCACACAACAACAGATCCTGTCACCACCAACTGAGCTCTGCAGTCTCCCTCCATTGAAGCTGCCTGTGAACCACCCATGTGCTGGCAAGCAGCAGCTGCCCCGGGAGAAACAGGAACACATGGGTTTCCCATTCCCTGCCTGCTGCCAGAGGCCTGACAGTCATTCTGTGGCACCTAACGAAGGGGTAGAGCTCTGAGGCTCCCAGGATACTCAGCACTTTGGGAAATGAACCCTTGTGTGCTGCTCTATGCTATTTTCTCTTTACCAAGAAGAAAAGAGCAGCCTGTCTTTTCCATTCTTACTGTCAATCCTGGAAGTCCAATGGGACCTGGCAATCCTGATGGTCCTGGTATCCCTTGGTCACCTCGTTCTCCTTTCTCTCCAGTGGGGCCATCTAGACCCTATAGATCAAAAAAAGATTTGTGGAATTTTTGCACACCTAAGTCAGGTAGACATGTAAGACATCACTGCAAGAGCCAAGACTAGCTCTGGTCATCTCAAGAGTACTCTGAAAACCCTGGACATCTGCCAGGTATCCATGGAAATGCAGGGCTTCAGTAGTATTGAAAGTAGAGGTGCAGTGTCTGAACATCCTCCAGTCACTGTGGGTGTGCCAGTCTCCTGAGTGGAGGTGGGATACTGCTTTCCTGCCTCCAAGTTCTGCTCAGGGTTATGCAGTTTGCTGGAGTCCATGCTAGAAATCACTCCCCACAGCCAGCTGTTGAGCAGGAGTTTCATCCCACTAATCTTGTAGAGAGGCAGGAAGTCACTGCAAAAAAGCCCCTTGAGCGGTGCTGGGGACACAGAAGCTGTGACACTGAAGCTGGGAGGCTGGGCACTCTGCCCCAGCTGGTGGCTGGGCTGTGAGGGGTTACCCCAACAGCTTCCCATCCAGGACGGGGTGTGCTGGTGCCTCAGCCTCCAGGCTCACCATCAGGCCTGCTCACTTCCAGCAGCGTTTTAGTGCCAGCAAGACACCAGGCAGCAAGCTGAGCAAGGGACAGGGTGCCCAGAGAGCAGGGCAGGCAGCTGGGGACAGCCACTCCAGCAAGAGGACAACACACGTGCCAGGCAGCTCAGGATCTCACTGCTGTGTTGTGACACTTCACACAGCAGCACCCACCTCACAGGGGCTCTGAGGTATCCGAGGAGTCCTGGGGCCTTGTCCCATAACCTGGGCAGCCACCAGTACCCAGGGAGGCTTTGATTTACTCACCGGTGGGCCCGCTTGTCCTGGCTCTCCCTTATCGCCCTTTTCTCCTCTGACCCCGACGTGGCCCTGCTCTCCCTTTATTCCAGGGGGTCCATCCTTTCCTGGAAGTCCAGGAGGGCCAGGGGGGCCCAATTCTCCAGGCTTGCCACGTGGTCCCTAAACGAAATTCACATAACATAAAGTGAAACATTTACAGATAAGAGTAAGGTTACTCCTGCCTGCCCTAGAGCCTCTTCCACTGCTCATTCATCCTTTCATGGCAATGCCCTTTGGAGAGAGGACAAAACAGCCTTGCCATGACAAACATTAGGACATTGGTAAACCACTAATGCTCTCTCTTGTGAAGCAAAATACCTTTTTGCCCAGTGACAAAAGCAACTGTGCAATGTCAGTGACAGACATGACTTTAGGTAAGACCTCTGATGGGAAGAGCATCGTGCCTTACCTTTTCTCCATCGTGGCCTGGAGGACCTGGCAAGCCAATTTCACCCTGAAACATAAAATTGGTACTTTGGCAGTTTGAAAGCAGTTATTCTGACTCCTTCTGTGTGTCACTATGATGAAGAAGGGCAAACATTGCAGAAATAGCCTGCAGGGACTACTCACAAGAAAAAAGCATGAAAACCCCCTTTTTTTCTGTATTCACAGAATTAAAGAAAAGCTATATGGAAACCCCCTGTTCAAACATTACATGACTTCCTGAGAATTTTCCCAGTCTTGTTAATCTGACTTCCAGCTCATAGTCCCAGTGTTGTAAAGTAGTCCTCAATCAACACAATCTTACAGAATTTTGTTCCCACAAGCTGCTTCCTGAAGAGGAGGGCAAGTAAAAATGATCCTTCATCTCTGAGATTAGGCATTATCATTGTGGGAAAAGAGATCTTCAGGATATTGTGCATGAGGAGGAGGGGTAGAGGCCGGCAGGACAGTCTGATGGTGCTAAACAGGAAGTAACTGGAGAGAGCTTTAGTTGGAAATTCTGCCTGGGCCGCTCCTGTGCTGCCCTGATTCTGCAAGTGCTGAACTGAGATAGTACCTTCTGTCCTGGTGGCCCTGGAGGTCCAGCCACACCTGGAAGTCCTGGGGGTCCCTAGATAAAGAAAAGAAGTATTTTCATATTCTTTTCATATTCAACAGGGGTTTTATTTTTGTGATTTGAAATGAAACATCTCTTCTGAGTTTACAGGAAATCAAAGAGGAACATTCCAAGGCATTCCTAAAATCATATTTTGTTGAGAAGCTGAGCAATGGAGAGCCTGAGAGCTGCTCTTCTCTTCTCCTTCTGAGCACTCTCTGTTCTGAGCAGCCTGTATTACCTCTCAAAGCAGAGACATGAAAGTCCTGATTAGAATTCAAATGCCAAGATCAGAAGGCAAGATGACCTCTTCTTTCAGCTGTTGGCTGCTTTCGCTCCCAATGGCAAAGGCCAAGTGTTTTTGCTGCACCTAAATTAATTGTCAGGCCATCTGCTTAGGATAGGCACATGGCTACTTGTGTAAAACCCCACAGCAAAGACAGCAACTCACCATCAAGGCCAAAGTTCGTATTTCCTAGGGGGAAAAAAAAGTGAAAAAAAAATTAAAATAAAGAAAACAGCCACTGGAAAACCAAGCTTTTTTTCTGGAGCTGGTTTGTTCTCCACTAATGTAACACTGGCTCGAATAAGCAAGGAGCCTACATAAAATACATAAGAGGAAAAAAAAAAAACCCAACAAACCCTGGAACCAAAAAACTCACTGTGAGTCCCACAGAGCTGTTATTCTACAATTTCCCCTTTATCCCAGTGGAACCCATTCCAACCCAGAGCTGGGCACAGCCACTCGCTCACTTCATTTCCTCTGCACACGCTCACAACGAAGCTTTGGTGACTTTATTCACCACTCACCCCACGTCATGGGCCATTCCCAAGGGGGTTCATGTGTCCTCTACATCCACTAGCACCAATACATCAGCCCAACTGGGCACACAGAAGTTTACCAAAACCCTACACACAGTGAGCTGTGCGATGAAAGGGACTATGGCACAACCAAGTGTTTCCCTTCACTGCTACTGCCAAGTAGATCTACATGATTTGTTCCCAGCTGTCTGCATCCCCTGGAAATAGCAAAGCATCCAGCTGTCACCTCACAGGACAGGAGGGCAGCTGCTCACCTGGAGAGCTTCACTGATGTTCCCATCATAGTCCATCATTTCATCCTTCCCAGGCTCTCCTTTAGGGCCCTGCAAAATACCAAGTCTTTAGCCAGGGGCTGGGATTGCCCTTCAGTTGCATTGCTGAGAGCTGGGTTCACTCTGAAAAAGGAGGCTCAGTGGAGCCCATGTCATGAGTGTCTGGTTAATCATTTATTGAAGAAAACCTCCGCAGTGCAGCAATTCTACAGAATTGTAGCCAGCCCAGCTAAGATCACCACATCGTGACCATCAAAGGTGGCAGATCTGGGAAGAGGTGAAGCTGAGGCCAGAATGCAGGAACTGGATTGTCTGAGCAGTTCTTAGACTTGGGTATGCACCAACGCCCTTGTTGCCCTTTTCTCATAGGCCAGGGGCCTGAGTCCAGACTGGGATGTCCAAACTCCCTCCTTCTATGAACGAGCCACCCTGAGATGGCTTAGGAGACGTTTTCCCTCTGATATGGGGTGAGGGTATAGGGTGGAGAAAGAGCCTGTCTCATATTTAGCCACTGCCCAGCTATGAGTGCTTTTAGTTACAGCAAGTCCTAATCCGACTTTCAGTGTGGTCCCACTATCTCAGACCCCTGTGAAGGGCCAGAACTCTTTGTATGTGAAGGAATACCTACCCTTGGGCCCATGGGTCCCTGGTCTCCTGGCGAACCACGTTCTCCCTGAAACAGAAAGATCACAGTTTTAGCAAAGCTGTCCCTTCACTTGCTTGAACTTCAGGAATCATCCTCTGCTGCTTCTCTGAAATAGTCTGGACTAGACAACTTGATTTAAAATTCTCCTTTTCAGCTAAGTTTTGTACACATAGGAACAAATCTGCAGCTTCAGAACCTGAAGAAGCACTCTGTACCTTTTCTCCCTGTGACCCTGCAGCACCCGGCCGGCCAACGTCACCAGCTTCTCCCTGACAGGAAGAGAAAGCATAAGGAATGGATTTGTGTTGTGTGGAGGGAGTGTGACTTCACTGCAGGCTTTGCATTTCCAGGAGGAAGAACTGCAGAACTGCACCAGCCAAGCAACATGTGCTGAGCCCCTTTCTGCTCAGGGTAGCCCAAATCTCCTGCCACGACTGCCCACCAGGCACCCTTCTGTTCCATCCAGTGCAGAGGGAATGCTCAGACTGGCTTCTCACAGAGTCCACAGGGAAATTATTTGAGCACAAGGAGGGTATTTTCCTTCCAAAAACAGTTCACAAAATCTCTCACCTGCAGCATATGAAACAACAGTACTGAAACACTCTGTAGAACCTGAAATGCCTTCAGCAGGTAACCAGAGGTGGGCATGATGAATACAACCTTTGCTCCTTCCTACACATCTTGTGCTGGGCACAGTCCCTCACAACATACAATTCCATGAAGGAAAAATCACTCACCTTTGGTCCAGGGGGTCCAGGCAGACCTGGAGGGCCAGGTTCTCCTTTAGCTCCCACCAAGGCATTCTCAGCAATTCCCTTCTCTCCCTGTTTGCAAAGAAGAATAAGCCACATGTCTCAATTCAGACTCCTCATCTCTGTAACTTCACTTGCCAAAATACGGCCTTAGAGAGACATGGCCCAAGACAAGATCCATCAGCTGGATTTTCGAAAGCCCAGAGAGGCACCACTCCAAAGGCAGCAGCTGGCCAGGGAGCAGGCCAGTATAGTCCAGCCTGGAGGTCCTTGTGGAGCACTGCCAGCAGCCACAGCATGCTCATCCCTTTGGCTGTGGCAAGGCACTGGCTCCCCAGGGCAATGTAAAGCTGCCTGTGGACAGACCTCACCCCCAGCCTCCCTCGGAATGCTGTGTTCTTCTATTGTTGAAACTGAGCTGATCAAACCACCTGATGATGGCTTCTTTTGGAATATCTCCCTCTGGAGCTGTAGTCATCAGCCACTCAGCCCTACATACCCTGTCCTTTGCACAGAGGCAGATAATAAGGCAGTAACAGGAAAGCTTTCCCATTACACCCTCATCCCTTCCTGAAATGGTCACTGGCATTCCCTGCACTGCCCCCTTCCCCAAGCCTGATTTGAAAGGTATGATTTCTATCAGAAAATCTCAATGCACAGGGAAAAAGCCACTCTCAGGGCTTAGCTTTAGCTGAGCTGCCCTGGGCCTCTCAGCACAAAGCAACTCCTCCAACTAAGATCCCAAAAAGCCCACCTCCTCATCACATATGGATCTCGGAGCAGGAAGAAGATTGAAATCCATGTTACATCTGAGGTCCTGCTTTTAAAGGGCAACTATTGGAACATGATTCCATGGTCCTGCTCCCAGGACCACCACCTCCTCCTCACTGCAGGAGGGCATGCAATTCCTCACAAAAAGGCATCTTTTGTGTGCCCCCCTCATATCCTGACTAGGGATGACATCCAGCTGAGCAGTGCAGAACACACTGATACAGATGTGTGAGCTGTGCACAGGGAATGAGGGAGAGAGGAAAGGGGGTGAGAGTGGTACCTCCCAAAAAAAAAAAAAAACCAAAAAAAAACCCAAAAAAAAACCCAAACAAAAAGAAACAAAAACCAGGAAAGAGACAAACCTTAGGGCCAGGGAGTCCAGGAAGACCAGGGTCACCAGCTCGTCCCTTCTCACCCTGTTGGCACAACCGACATGGTCAGGGCTGACTCTGCAGGCTTTGCATCCTGAAGGAGCAGCCAAAGGTTGAGCTGCTCCTGGTTTCACAACCTTTCCTTTCCCTAGGAATTTTATTTTGGGCCCAGACAAGGCATCCTCATTGAGCAGTACCAGCTCAAGATATTGAATGTTTTCACCCAACCTTTTGACCATCTCTGCATGTTGTTGCCATTTCTCTCCAAGAAAGGCAAGAGGGAAAGGGATCCAGGGTCTCCCCTCTGCATCTTCTTTATCCCTCTGGTCTGCTAAACCCTTCTCCCTGTCAGCTCTTCTGCAAGGCTTTCCTTGATCCATATACCCACAGAAGCTGTTGTCGAGAGTGAATTTTAGGCGCGAATGGAGTGCAGGACTTTCTCCATGCCCTGCTCTTTTTCCCTAGCTCCAAATCCCAGACTCATCACGTTCTTACAAAATGCCAAGCAGTGCAGCATTTCAGCTGGCAGCCAAGCCCTGTGACACGCACCGCTCAGAAAAGCAGCGAAGGCAGGAGTGGCAAAAATGGCAGACAACAGCTGATGGTGCAAGATGGTGCCTGGAGAGCTGCAGGATGAGCTGTGTAGGGCACCATGGAGCAGGGAGGATGCCATGGGCAGTGAGCAATAGAGAGCATCCAGCATTCCCTTGGTGAAGTGGCTTTACCCAGTTCACCATGACACCTGGGCTCTATTTTGAACACTGGAGCTCAATTAAGGGTCTTTATGTTGAAGTTAAGTCCTCTTCAGACTATTCCATCCAGCTGCTAAACCCATGGTTTCCAGGTACAGTGTCCTGTTTAGGAGTCTGCATTTTTCCACGACAGAGAAAGATACTGGAGGTTTCTGTTCCATTGCAGAGATGTTTCAAATGCATCACCAGGGAAAGGTGTGTCCTTAGCCACAATCCCCACAGCTCCAAGACTCAGCAGCAGATTACATAGAGCAATTCAAACCCTCTTTTCCCTCACATCCAGCTCTCTCCACAATGGCTCCTGGAGCCATGCTGCTGGCCTGCAAAGGCTGGTGCTGCTCATCAGAGCTCAAGGGCACACATCTGACATGCAGGGGACTTGCATCAATGCTCCAGGAACAGACATGCACTGGTAGCTCCCTGGAAAATAATTAACTAGCAGCAATCTTTTTGTCAGGCAGTTCTAGAGTGCAGTCACCCTTTTCTCCAAGGTAATTTGACTTCCAGCCACCTGTACGACCCGGCCTTCCCCCCACAGCTTTCTTTCCCGGCTAGACCATGCACATTGCTGCCCTAAATTAATGCTTCTCTCCCTGGAAAAAGGGAAAACATTTCCAGGACTTTGCATCCAAGGAAAACATTTGGCACTGGGTGGTTTTGTAAACATATAATAGCTAATTCTGTCCTGGGCCTCTGTGAATCCCTGATTCTGTCTCAATACCCCACTTTTCATTCAAGGACTGTTTCGGATACACATGGCCATAAAGGCTACTGAAAACATCCCGTGCTGCCAGAACTAGGGTGTGAAGCAGTGGATTTGAGGAGGGAGGTCAGATTACTGAATCCCTGCTCAGGGTGTTATTTCTGGAGTCAAAAGATGCAGCACTGTCCTTAATCGTTCCCGGGACAAGACTCCATGGCAGGCATCTCCTGCTGCCCTGCCTGCCAGCAGCCCCCACCTCCTGCAAGCAGGAACACACAAACACACTTCGCCAAGGGGGCAAGAGCCGGCAAAGGACACATAATCCCCGCAAGCACAGCAGTGCAGCACACAGCAGCTCCCCCTCGCAGGGAACACAGCCCTGCCAGGACACCCAGCCCAAACACGCAATGTCCTACCCGCTGCCCCCTCTTCCCTGGCAAACCTGGGGGGCCCATCCTCCCTGGGACTCCAGGATCTCCCTTGATGGGGAAGAAAAGAGACAGAGAACGCGTCTGTTATGCGGCTGTCACATGCTGTAACATAACCCAGCGAGCCTCCAACAAGAGGAGCCAGCTGCTGTGAAACCAAGCTGGTTGCTCCAGGATGGAAAGGGATGAGGCCTCGGGAACTCAAACCAGCTCATGCTACACCGAGATGGGAAGACTGCCCAGGGCAGTTCATACAGTGCACAGCAGAACAGTCCCCTGCAGGGGCATGGGAAGGCTTCTGTGGGGCACACAAGTGTTGGGAGGCAGAAGGGGGACAAGGAAAGGGGCAGAGGGAATCTAACTGCTAAGCAAAGTGTGCCGTGTGTGTCTTGTGGAGTAGGGAGGAAAGGAGAAAGGCAACTGAAAGGTTTTCCATTGACACAGACATGAGTAGACTGGGAATATTTGCAGTATGGTCCCTTTCTTGACATCACTGTATCCTACTACCATTTTGCTTAGGGTGGCAGGTGCCATTAGGGTCTGGACTTAGGTACTGGGAAGTACAGAGCCATTCCTCAGCTCCCTCACCTGCTCTGGGTGGGGAATAATATACCAACCAATCAGAAGTACAGGCTCAGAGCAAAACCATCTGAGAGTACCTTTTCTCCTGGAGTCCCAGGCTCGCCCTGGTGAGAAAGAGATAGGAAAATAAAGTGAAAAACTAGGAAGAGAGAGTACAAATCCTTCTAGAGCTATCAGAATGAAGAACAGAACATTAATCCATGGGGGCCTTTGATTTGTAAGTAAGGGCATGAGAGTGCTCCAGTTGTGTATTTTTGCGCCTGCATTTTGTTTTCTCTTCATTAGCCATCTCTCAGGCTGCTGCAAGGAACTACCAAACGTCAGACTCAGGGCTTGTACAAAACTGAGTGACCACCTTGCAGTGCTTCCAGACGTTTACCAGATACGAAGGAGTATAGTAGGACAAGATTAATCTGCGGGCATGAAGGAATTTGCCGCTTCTTGCTCTATGTGACAGGAGCAGGCACGGCTGCGGGAGGCTGTGATGGTAAGAGCTCACCAGACTCGCCGCTGGGTAGCAGGGGAGCGGCTGGAGACAGGTCAGTTCTGATATTCCCCTTTAGTGGGAGCTGTCCGACCATTTTATAGCTCTGTACGCTCTCCCAGCTCCAGCCCGTGCCCAAGGCGAGGCATTACAGAGTAAAACTGACCTTCATCCCTGCGGCGGCCACCCCAGGAGCACCCTGGCAGAGAGAGGAAAGATAGGAACAGCTTGTTTGAAATTAATCGGACATACATTTTTTAAAAGCAAACAGTATCAGTCAGGTGAAACTAAAAATGCACAAATGCACCTCTTTTTCTTTCCACAAGTCAGAAGTAAAGGCTGTAACACCACACAGCACACGTCCACATTCCCTGAGAAGTCGTTCACCTATGGCAGTGGCTCTGCGTTCCAGAAAGCTCTTCCAAAGGCAGGCATCGTGAGGACAATCCAGTCAAGACAACCGGATTTCTACCCCCACCCCTGGTTTTAGTGCTACAAGTGAAGCAAAGGCCAACAAGCAGAACAGTGTCCACTAACTGAGGAATGCAAAAGAGAGAGCAAGGGCCAAACCCCCACCTCAGGGCTTGAGCCCAGGTACCTCTGCTGAAGCATCCCGAGAAAAGGCCAGCTCGTACCCCAGAGCTTCAACCTTGCTATTCCCCCTTATTCTTTTTCTATCACAGAAGACAAACCCTGCAATAAAATGCTTTCAGGAGAGCTCTGAAGCCAGACACCTCAGGGGTAAAAAACAGACTCCTGAGCACTGCAATTCAGGTGTTATTCTGCAGTGCAGAGCAAGCCACCGCCACAGGACCATGGAGTCCAGCCCTGGCATCTGAGACAGGTGCCTCTGAGCCCCAGGAGGCAGCTGCTGGCACATTTCCCTCGACAGCACTGATGCAAAAAGCAGGCTGTGCCTGTCAACTGTCTGCTCTGAAATCTCTGTACTAATACCCTCTATTAGTATTAGTTAGGTCCTGGTGAAAAGGTCCAGTTACAAAAGCAAGTATGAGGGATAACTAAGGAGAGGGGAGAGAGTGCAGTGGTGTTAGAACTTGGGAAATGTGAGGGGCTGGGATGTAGCATATGAAGCAGTGAGGAGGACCGGGAACCAAGTTCAAAGTGAAAAGAGCTTGGTAAAGTTCAAACAATGAGGAGTGGCAGCCAGAGAGCAGTAGGATCATACCTCTCAGCTTTCTGAAACAGAAATCGGGGACAAAAGCTAAAAAACACAAGGACAGAAGATGGAGATCAGGGATTCTATGCAATAAATGGGAGAAAAAAGCATTCCAGATTGTCTCAGGGTCAGTAGGTTTTAGTGAGTACGGGCTGGAGTMATGAAAGGGATAACGTGCAGCAAGTGGCTTTGGTTAGGCCTTCGCAGTGCCTTGGGATGCCTGTTCCTCATTTTTCAGCCTTCAAACAGCAGCGAATGCAGATGATGTTATTTTCTAGTATTTACCCTCACACTGCAATGCTCAGACATGCAAGGCTGCTCACACACTGACTCTGATTCATCGCTGCAGTGGCCCAGGTTCCCACTTGGGCAGCCCTGCTTGTCCCAGCTGGGCTCACACACACCTGCAGTGGTCACCTGGGACCCCCAATTTACAAAAAGCCAATTCCCTACAAACATCAGCAACTGGCTGCTCTCACTGGCATAAAGCATTAAGGTCCTGATGTTGCAAGTCAGCATCAGACTGGGCATGCCATTTGCTCTGTAAAACACTTCTTCCCCCACCATTGCCTTCATAAGTTAGGCCCACTATTTTGCAATTTGGAAGCATAAATAATTCTGCTGAGGATAGTCACTGACCAACAGACACACAACAAATCCCTGTGCATCAGGGACAGTCGAGTGCTATGGGTGAGATCAGGCAGACACGCATCACTCCTCTGGTTACAAGGTACCTTAAAGCCATGTCTTCCTGGCAGCCCTGGCATGCCTCTCTCCCCCTGGAAGCAGAGCAAGACACACAAAGACAGCAAGAGACAGGAGATGAGTCCTCCCAGGGCTCTGTCAGGAGTGCCCAGGGCACTTGGTGATGAAAAACCCTCCTGAGTGAGGTGAGGCACCATTTTCCCCATCTGACTCTCAGCAAGCCAATTGTCCTAGGCAGGGCCATTTCCCATCAGTGGAACCTCTCAAGCCTGCTGCTTACAGCAGGACCGACCCCACCCTCTCCCCCCCCAGAGTGCCACATCCCATGTCACAGGGCACAGGGAAGCACTCAGCCTGCAGTGACTACAGGATGAACAAACCTATCTGGAGAGACAGAGAATCCAAGGGTTGCCTTGCACTGTTAGCCTGAATTTTTTCTGGTAATAATTGGAAAATAAAGTATCTTCGGGCAACCTGAAGCTGTCATTTTGTTCTGGACGTTTAGTCCTTGCTTGGAAGGGCTATTCAGCAGGGATAGATGTATATGCTTTTTCAAAAAAGAATGTCTTGTAATTACAGCATCCTGTGAACTATATTTTGTAGAACACCCTCAAATACCATCATATACGTGACCTGGTGTGGGCTCCTCCAGCCCTACACAGCCTACTTAACTACCCTATTTTCAGCAGTAAGAAGGAAAGCAGTAATTAGGAATGCTTTGTACTGGAAAATGGGGACTGCTCTCTCAAGACCGATACAGTCTGCTGGAGACACCCACCCTACTTGCAGAGACCATCCTCACAGAGCAGCTCAGCCTGTGACAGCAATTCCCCACCCCAGAGACTTTCCTGGAAGAACGCCTGCCTGAAAAGCTGTTTAATTACTTAGCCCTGCAAAAGCAAATCCCCATCGATGAGAGGGAGCAGGGTAACCCCCACCCACCAGAGGAGCAACTAAGAGCCACCACCCTACACTGTGTTTTTTGATGATGCTGGCACAGCCCCCAGCACCAGCGAGATCACACAGGCACTAGAGCTAATTAAAGAGGGGAGCAACAAATGTGACCCTGTCCCACTGAAGAGCAGAAAGAAACCCAGTGACAGAGAAAAAAGAGGAAAAACAACTCTCCAGAACATCTTTAAACCGTTAAGTGTTTGAAAGCCATTGTAGTACAGCGAGCACCCGCTGGGCTGATGCCTTTATGGTCCCCTGGTGCCCTCGGAGTTGCACAGGGTGCCGCAGCCAGGCAGCAAAGCTGCCCACCAAAGGCAGCACTGGAATGGTGCAGCCAAGCCAGGAGCTGGGAAACACCACCAAAGGTGGGTACAAAAGGCAAAGCATCCAGCATGGCTCCCAGCGGGCTTCAGGAAGGCAACCAGTGGCATCTCCCAGCTCTCCTGAGCTTCACAAAGATTTAGGAGACACCTCCCCAATGTCTGAAAGAGTTAGGCTATACCTCTCCCCTCTACACAGAGGTGCAAGCAGCTTTATCCCCAATGGGTGCCAGTGATGCCTCACACTAATCAACTCATTAGTGGCCAACTAAAGCAGGCACCGTTCCTCTTTGCTCTGAGAGGCAAATTATCAGGGGTTTCTTGAGAAAGGTGTGGCCACTTTCTTTATGGCTCCTTCCTCAGAGCATGGATCATCCTCATCCTATGGATCTTTCAGAAAAAAAAAAGTAAGAAAGTGTAAGTGAAATGTGAATGTGAAAGGCTGGGGGCAGCCAGTCAAACGCTCATTCAAGTGGCTCAGGTGATCACAATCACTGCCTAAATGACCTTCAAGGGACAGAGATTTAGGTCCCTACATGATCAAAGTACAAACAGCCACAGAAGGAAACAGCAGAGACAATCTAGGTTGTGCTGCAGCTGCCACTGGATGAGAAGAGGTGGTTAAATCAACTGAGTGGTACTAGCAAGCCTCTCTGTGATATTCTTCAGATAAAGCATGCTATTCCATGAAAAACTGGCCACTACAGCTATGAATCATAGTGTTTGTCCAACGCTCCTCAAGGCAAAGGGATTGTAAAGTCTAGTCCAGGTAACTGGATCCAAAGTTGGAAGAATTAGTCTTCCAGAGTCCCAGTGAATCCTCCTAGGTGGAAGGATAACAGAAAGAAGCAATTTCCAAAGACAACAAATGCACGTGCTGTTGGATGCTCAGGAGCTGTTACTGGGTGAGGTCTGGCTGCTGATTTAAGAGTATTTGTGCACTTCCCTTTCAACCCCTCTGAGCAAAAAGAAAGGAAGTTGAATGAAAAGTGATCTTGACTATAATAAAAATGAAAGCCTGTGTGTGAAAGAAGGTGCTGCTTTGGGACTGGGGAGGTGGAACTTAGAGCTGCAATTTAGTATCACAAAATGTGTGGTGGATTTAATCTCCACTCCTGAAGTAGGATGAATAAGGGATGAAGCAGCAAGTAGCAAGACCATGTCTCCAGGGTGGCCCAGAGTCAGGGAAGACTGGGATGGCCCTGAGACTGCAATACCTGCAGGCTTCCCCTTTGCCAGAGCCCAAATGAAGGGCTGGTTAGTCCTTGTACATAGGCATGAGCAGAGCAGTTGTCTGCTAGCAATGAAACATTGGAGTTTAAGCAGGGACAAAAAACAGTTTCTCCTTTCAGCCTTTTTTCCCTCCCAGGCCACACCTGGACTTCAGTCCTTCAGTTCAGACCTGCTGTCCAGAGAGCTGCAAACTCCAAGCCCCCAAAACACATTAGTTCAAGGTGCAATACCACCTTCACTCACACTGGCACAAACAGGAGCAATACCTTTGTGCTTGATGGAATTACACTGATGTTGAAATGGACACAGGGAACCTTTGGATTCCACATGAACTGCAGTATTTCTGAGGAGGTATTGTTTCCTTGCAAGAAGACAATCAATACTGCTCTATTCAACCATGAACCCAGAGCCTGCATTCCCAAAGAACGTTTATTTAAACTCCAAGTGACGCATCCCTGGTAAACTCTGAAGGGGCCTTTTCTCTCTTCAAACAGTAATCCACCCAGATGGAAAAGATATAGAAAGTGTATGTGCTGCAGGATAAATGAGCTGCATGCCACACACTAAATACTTGAAATATACGTGTCACTGTTAATGCCTTTCCAAATATTACAGGACCAGTCTTTCCTCACGATGTTTAAGATGTATGGCATGACACAGTGTGCTCTGACTGCCATGAATACTTGCCAATGTTGTAATGTTTTAAGCACAGTCTACATTGAGTAATATATTTTAAATATATGGGTACAGTAAATTTCAGTCAAATAGATAACATCTGGGCACAAACCATATGAGCCTGTAAAAAGTGTCCAGAAACAGACAGAAAAGCTGGAGCCAAACCTCAGCCTGAATTGCAGAGTTTGAGTGGATTTGATGCGTCAGCTAACCAGATTTTATGAGGAAACCCCAACCTAGCCCATCAAATAAAGAGATGCAACAAATCACCGGCAAGCTTCATAGTCAGAGAAATGCCTTTGGTAAGAATCGAATTCCACCAAACGGATAAAGGCTGCTTTTATTGCCTGAGCTCCGAGTGCCTGTCTGTGGTTAATCAGAGCACAGATGTGTACTCCATCAAATACCCCACAGAGCTGCCTTGGACCCAACTTCCCCTTACAATCCATTAGCCCAAGGAGCAGTATCTCCCAGGTGATCTACTGTATGTTAGAAAAACATATTTGTCATGCCTACCTTGATGCCAGTGTCCCCTTTTTCACCCTGCCCAGCAAAGGAGAGAGAAAGGGGGGGAAACAGAGACAGACAGTAAACATGAAAGAAAAACCAAGCAAGCAGTTCAAATGTAGCAGCAAGCGACAAAGAGAAAGTAGCCAAAAGAGAGGTGTGATAAATGCAACCCCAGCACTCTGATTGTCCTGACAACAGCATGGTCCAGCCAAGCACAGGATGCAGCACACCACTCCCAGGGAAGGCAAAGGCAGTTTAGGTCCCTGGAGTGGATGCTGGAGGTTGCCCATACTAACGCTTTTCTACAAGATATGGGTGTAGAAACCATCAAAACGTTTCATGGCCCAGAGTACACTCATTTTCACAAAATGCAAAACACCTCTAAAGCCTCTAAAGGCTGGGTCAGTTTTATTCTTTAATGGGGGACTGTGTAGGTCCTGGTTCAGGACAGCATGGAATTATCTTGACCAACAATAGCCCAGACTCTTCATACAGGAGCTAGTGATCCTGTCTACATGATTCATTCCAGGCTCTAGAGAAGGGCCCCAGCCCCTGGCCTTTGATAGCCCTTTAGGATAGGCTTGTGCCTCTTAATCTGATGCCCCCACTGACTCGAGTTTAAGGGTTACCTTGGGGCCAGAGGCTCCAGGGAGGCCATGGGCACCAGGCAGGCCTGACTCACCCGCCTCACCCTGAGGAAGAGAAGAAAGAAAACAGTGGAAGAAGCAAACACAGCAGCAAGAAAAGGAGCTGTGTGTTGGCAGAAAGGTCAGCAGAGGTGTGAGAGGGATGTCCCACACCAAGGTGTCCCACTCATACCAACCTACCCCTGGATATCATTAAGAGAGGAGCTCCACTCTGCATCAAGAAAGATACTCAGTGTGTGAAATATATGGAGTGAAGGGAGTGGTCCCACATCCTACATCGTATCTGAGTTACCAACTTTCCTGAACATTTAGCCTTCCTTTCCCTTCTTGTTAAGGTCCCCTGCATTCATCCATTCCTTCCAGCTTTCCCAAGGAAAGGTCACAACCTTGGGCTCACCCTTCCCAGATCTGTGCAGGCTCTTTGCTCAGAAGTGAATTAACCAGACAAGTTGTTTCATGTAAGAGGAGCTGGTAGGGGAGGCCCTCGCTGTGAGGTCGCTGCTGAGAGCTGCCTGCCCTGCACACACACAGCAGGATGGGCTCCTAATGGAAAATCCAATGGTTCACTGGGAGAAGGGGCAATAAATTGTGTCTGTCTGCAGGAGTGGGCTGTGGTCTGCAGGGGCTATAATTTCCACTTCCTGACATAACAAAAACTTCTCAGTTTATACAGAGCTAATTAAAAAGCTCTCAGGTCTTGCCATTTTGCTTGTACAGCGCCCATAAAGCAAAGTGGAGATAACAGGGGACACAGGACTCCTTCCTGCTGGGAGCATTCACCTTCCCCTTCTCCAGCTGACATCTCTTTAGCAGTATCTCTTCATTCCCTCTCTCCCTTTGATCTCTCTTTGTGTCTTTCCCCTGTCTCTCCTTCCGTCTCTTCATTACACCCTCCAGGCTTGACAATCCTGCTGTTCATCAGCAGCTGCTGTAGGCATTTGGGCATTGCCCCTTTCTGCCTTTTAACCCGGTGCAGGATTGACTCTTTCCTGTATCCCAGACAGCAATAGCCAGGGATTTGGCCCCTTCCAGCCTCTTGTTTGGGTCTGGATGCACAGGAAGTGCATTTCAGCCTGGAAGTGGGTTTAGAGAGGCACACAGACTCAGGGCAAAGTCTGTTCTGTAGCTGCTGGAGTGACAAAGATATCTCCAGACCCAGGCTCTCCTTACATGGGTGACAGCAGGGGATCCATGGCCTGTTGCAGATCCATGTCCAGCAGGAGCAGAGCTCCACAGGATGCTCCAGAGTAGCCCATAGATTTTCAGCCATGACTCCACAAGGCATCTTTCCATTTAATTCATTTAACAACATTGGAGCTTCCCTTCTTACCTTTCTGCCAGGGTGTCCCTGAATCCCAGCATCTCCCTGCAAAAGGCAAAAGGACAGAAGAAAGTGAGGCTTGGCCTGAGAAGGACAAATCTCTGCCCTTTTCCCTGGGGTATTGCTGGGATGGAGACCATTCCATGAGGAAAATTCAGCTTTTGCTCAGAGTGACTCCAGTGAGCTCCTGACCCTTCAGACCTGCAGGTCATCGTTACCTGCACTGGGCTGACCCCTGGCAGCCAAGTGACACGTGTCAGCTGTGTGTCCCAGTTCCATGGCTCCTATCTGCTCACCCTACCTACATATCTCAGATAAAAACAAGTTAGGGTGGGTGGCTGCAGCTGAAAAACAATAATGACCACCCCCTCCCTTGCAGTTTGGCAAGTGAATAAATTAGAAACCATGGCAGAGTTAACAATAGCATTGCAAAATCCATTCCTGAAGTGCTGTGAAATGCTTTGAGAATGGAAGAAGCCAATAAAGCTGTGTGTGGCAAACAATTTTGCAAGACGGGCTGATGAGGCGTGCCTGGCTCAGTCAAGATGAACTCAGACGTGTCGCCTGGACAAAACCCATGAGTCAGCACACGGGCCAGACCCCAGAGACAATGCTGAGCTGGATTAGAAATCTTTCTCAGCTATTTGATGTAACCTCTTTTACCCCTCCTCCATCCATCAAAATGTACACATCTGTCCTTGCCAGGAGAGTCCACCTCTGTTCCTCATCCTTCTACACCTCTAAGTGAGGTGACATGTCTCACCTTTGGTCCAGGAGGCCCAGGTAAGCCCTGTGGATAAAAACAAAACAGATGTGGGAGTCAGAAAATGTAGACATTTCATGGGCAGCAGGGTGATGGGAGGTGCTGGCTGCTTTGCTTTGAAACACCCCTTAGAGATTTGAGCTGGTAAGCTCAAACATCCCCAATCTCTTCTTTGTGCAGATGAATACTATGTTAGCCCACACACCCAAATAAAATCATGCCCATAGCACTCCATCCCTCCCCGTTTGGTCTCGCTGAATCTGAAGACCAAAAAGCTGCTTTGCCTTATGCATTATGCTCCAGAATCTTTTCTGTTTCTCTGCCTTGTTTAGGGAATTTGTTCCCAGCCCACTGTGCAGCTCTGGAGTAAATCAGGCATTTGCAGCTTTCTCTGGCAAGCTAAATGGAGAGAACATATTAACAAACAAACCACTTGTGTCTTTAAATGAGAAATAACCAAACAATTTACCTGATATGAACCATGAAGCATACCAGGTATGTGTGCGTGTAAATATAAATAAACAAAGTATCTATGCAGGAGCTGCATATGAGCAGGCAGGAGGGGAAAACTACCCTAGATATTCTCTGATGCCTTGTTTGGCAATTCAAATGTTTAGCCATCCTGTCCTTGGCTCCTCAGAGACTGATGAAGATCTCTCAGAAAGAAATGAGATGCTTTCAGGATCCCTAACCCCTGTATTGTGTGTGTAGAGGTGCTTTTGCCTCCAAGGACAAGACCTGCTTGTCCTGCCAGCAGGCCCTGAAAACTCTTTGAGATGGAAGCTCCTTTCATTAGGCAGTGGCTACAGAGCCATTGTGCCCCAGTTCCTCCTGCAGCTCCCAGGAATGGAGCTGATTTCTGGCACCCACCTTTCCATCTCTGCCAGGCTTTCCAGGTTCTCCCGTTCTGCCCTGTTGCAAGAGAGAAGCACATTATCAGAACTTTCTGTCCTGTGCCCTGCCATTTAGCAATGGTATTATTGTATAAATGGTGCTTCTGTTCCCACCCTCCTTGGCTACTTGCAAGGACAGGGACAGGACTTCAAAGTGGGGGCAGGGAGCACGACAATTACTCCCCACATGTTACTTCCTCTCTGGGGTCATCTGCAGGGGCTGAGGAGGAGGAAATGAGCCTGGTGTCACCCACTGTGTGTCTAGATAGCAGCAGTGCCCAGTGCACACCTCCCTCCTTCCCCGCAACTTCCTCCTCCCCACACATCCACATTCTCTGCAGGTCTCCCATCCATGGCTATCTCAGCCTCACCAGAGGCCACAGAGGCCAGAGGAAACTGCCTGAGCCCTAGGGGAAGGGGGAGCAGAAGGATTTGGGTTTTGATAAGGACTTACAGGGGGCCCAACTGGCCCAGGATGTCCTGGGATTCCTTTGGGTCCAGCTGGTCCAGCAGGCCCTGGTGGACCAGGGGGCCCTGGGGGACCTTGGATCCCTGCTTGTCCTTGTTCACCCTACAGTTCATAAAACAAGAGTTATCAGCTGGCAGAGCAAACCCTTCACACTGCCAGCCCAAGGCCCCAAGGCAGGCCAGCCTGGCTGAAGCAGATGAGATAGAAGCAAGTCCCAGGTTACTGCCAGGGAGTTTCCAAGAGCGATGGAGAGCCCTATTGAGCACAGCCTGGGAAGCAGGAGCCAGCACTCTACAGTTTGCAAAGACATCTGAGGTCACTTGGTCAGAGGTCTCTTCTAGAGAGATTTAGTGATGACAAAGCAGTCCAAAGAGACCTTTTTCTTCCCTGAGTCAGTCAAGTAAAATTTATGTGTCAAGGACTGACACCTCTTGAGTCTCTAAGGCTTTCCAAAGCACTTGACAGTCACATGTGAAGCAAAGCCTCCCATGACCACACTGGCACTTCCAGGCAGAGCCACAATGTCTTACCTCAGCCTATTCTTCCCCCATACTATATTTGTGGGACAACACTCCCTCTGTTTTGCCAAGGACCAAAAGTAGAAATGCCACAAACCCGAAAGAAAATAACAGGATCATCATGGCATTCCTGGAGCCCACCCAAGGCAGGCCCATGTCCGCCAGGCAGAGCCTGTTTTTTCTATGATTTAACAAGGCAGCACGCGCTGAGCCACCTGCCATTTTCAGCTCTCTGGAACAGAGCCGTTTGAGCCGGTTCCTCCCCAGGCCCCTCAGTAGCCATTTGGTGGCTCATGCCTCAGCAATGTCATCTGGCCCAAAGGACCTGAGCGTGGCACCAAGCGGCGCTGAGGAGACAGTGGGTTGGAAGCACCACGTTTGAATACCAGACTGCTGATCTATAACTGATGATTCCAGCGAGCTCTTAGGACCCATGCTAAGCCATTCGCCTATTAGGCTCACCTCTCTAGATAAAATACAATGGCGGCCTACTGCTGGTGATCCAATTTAAATCTGAAAAACTTTCCTTGCTGGATCCACGGGAAGCTAGAAACCAAACATGGCTGTTTCTCAGTTAAAAGTTAATGGGTGTGAAGTTGGGTCTCCGCTGCGTTTATCCTCTACAACTTTATACACTGGAGGAAAAAGCATGAAATCTATCCCCTGCCTGTGTTCCTACCAAGAGCACTGTTTATCCTGGCTGCCTTTCGTAAAACATGCAGATACAGGGGATGTTTGCTTTATTTAGAATGATAAATGAAAGTAATAAGCTGCAAATTTCCTCCTTTTTGCCATGAACTCTATTTAAAAGAAAATTTCCGATATGAGGGCCAGGCTCACGAGAAGCTCAGTCATGTGTGGAGCAACAGCCATTTTCCTGTGTCTCACCACCCAACCTGCAGCCCACGCTGGGAAGCCTTGCTGGGCCAGGCAGGTCGGGCGCACTTGCTTTTCCCCCTTTTTTTTGAAGTGGATCTTCATTCATCCTGTGGCTCTTGAAAGGGAATGCAGGTTCTTTTCTAGGATTCCTTATCCCCCATACTCAGTGCTCTTCCACTTTCCTGTAAATGGTCTCATAGCTTTAAAATATGGATGGCAATTTGCATCTAATGAAGATGCCGGGATGACACTGGAATATATTTCTAAATTTCCTCTTGCCTTGACCTCTCATTCAAGCTTCAAAAGACTTTCCTCCCCCTGCATCTTACAGCACCCCCAGCATGGGTGCACCATGGGAAGGCAAAGGGGGCTTTGCCCATCTCATTTTGGCTCTCTCTCCTCTATTCCCACCTCAGCTCTGCCAACCCAGCCCATGCCCCAGATGTGAGGCACTAAAATGCAGCATGGTACTGGAAAGGGGTGCTGGCAGGGGACAGGGAACTGGGAAGAGCAGGAGGCCTGTCCCAGCACACGAGTGGCTGGAAGGAGCTCACCCAAGGTCCCGTTCGCATCAGCCTCACTTTGTTGTCTTGGACACGGCCGGCCTTCTCTAGGCAAGTGCCCATCCTTGCAGATCCCTGAACACACCAAGTGTTATTACCACATCATTACAGTCCTATTAATGTGTTCAGCACAAAAGGACCCCCACAGAGCTCAATGGACAGTAAGGGGATACAGTAAGTGGGAGATTAGGTGTCATTTTCCTCATTTGTCATTCTATATTTTTAGCTGTCAACTGGAGCTATTTTTCAGTTCTTTTAAACACCAGCCAGCCACCCTGACTGTGCCCCAGCAATGCAATGCTTGCTCAGCCTCCTCATGAAGGACCCCACTCAACCCATGGCTCAGCTAAGGCCCAGTCCTTGGGCAAAGCACTCCTGCTGATGTGCTCAGAGTTAGCAGCAGGATTTCCCTCTCTTCCAGGCACTGGTGCTAACTTCCACTTTGCAGCCTCACTGTTTTTCTTAGTATTCATATGCTGGGCTCCTGGAATTGCCTGGTGCTGGAAGATCTGTAGGAGCACATTACACCCATAATTGCATTTAGGGAATCAATACAGCAAAGGCAAAAGAGATCATGGCAAAACTCTCATGGCAAAGAGGGGAAGTTTTCCTCTGCGGACAGAGGGAATTTGCAGCCCTGGCTAACGACAGGACCTAGGGCCGCTATTCAAGTTTCCCACTTCATCCTGGAGAGGAACTTCAGCTTTCAAAGCCTTCCCAAGAGGTCAGTCCTTGGCCTGGCTCTCCAGACTGTCACTTTGAAAGGCAAATTGTGCAAACTGTGGGGCTCTGTGTGCTGCGAATGCTGCATCGATAGAAACTGAACTGAATTCATGGGCTCAAGTGGAAAGGTCAGGATTTGTCCAGTGCTGGGCAAGGACCAGGCACCTCATGGTAAAGGTCTCTTGCATCCTACAGTTCCCTGCTAGACAGGCAGCAGGGTGACAAAACCCAGCCACTTAATAGAGAGTGCCTGGCACACTTCAGCAGGGTAATTGCAGCAGTTTGTCCACTCAGGAAAGCTAATCCCAATTGATAGAATGAGGGAGCATAAAGTGCGCTCATTAAAAGCCACATGAACTCTGACTATGGACACTCTTATTCACTATTCATATGTCTGTAATTCACTTTATGAATTCATTCCCTAAATAAACTAAGCATTAATTATGGCCCTGGAAACCAAAATAAATGCGTTTACACAAAGATTTAATGCAGTTTAATGAAACCATTCTAAGAGCTTATTTAAACACATTTCCCCAAGTGCCTCAGACTAGACTAACCCTTAGAAGAAGCATTTGCCTATTCATTCATCTCAGTTAAATTTCACAGACATTAGATGTATTTCAGCAAGAGGCTTCTAACCTCTTCTGAAGATAGAATATGCAGGAACTGACTCCTTAAGGGAGGAGGTTGCTTGTCGACAGCCCCGAAAACAGCTTCATGGCCCATTTATTTTAGTTTGAAAAACTGGCTTCACTGCATTTCTTTTTAGCAACATTATCACATCAAAGATTTCCTCTGCTTTAAAAAAAGTCCCTCAGCTCTGCCTGAAACTCTTGGAAACTCCTCTGGAGGGGAAGAAAGACAGGTAGCAAGCTGATTAATTGCAAGCATCGGGATAAGCTTAGAAACAGGCAACAAGGAGGAGAAGTCTACCTGGAAAGTGCGTCTCTTTATGACCGGAGGTGGAGCCAGCCGCACAGAATTGAGGAGAGGCAACAGCTGAAGAAGATCAAACCAGAAGGTCACAGGGCAAAGGAGGCCATGAGGGCACCAAGAGTCAGAGAGCAGCCAGGGGAGAGAACAGAGAAGAGGGGAACAGAGAGATTGCCATGAAAATAAAGCCCAGCGTGTGAGTGGCGCAGAGCAGGCGCAGTACAGGTACCTGCTGGCAGACCTCTGAGCTCCTCCGTGCTGCTCACAGGGGCACTCACCAGCTGATAGCTGGCAGCTGTGGGGTCACCATGCGAATGCTCCCACTGTACAGAGCTTTTACACCTTCCTCTGCTCAGAAATAGAACTCACCCAGGCGATTTTTGACTCAGCCCCGCTGATTTGCTTAGGCAGTGTTCCCTGTAAGATATCCCCTCACTGGCTCTGCTAGGGCCTTCAGTGATTGGGACTGTTTTCTCTTAATTTCTCATCATGGGAATTGGGACAACTATTAAAACTGCAATTTTCTCCAAGTTTTCCAAGTGTGTTTTCTGTCCCCTTGCAAGAAATCCAGTGTATCTCCAGGTCTCACCCTTCCTCTAGGTGTGGGAGCGAGGGGAGAGAGGCTAGCTGGGGTCAACACGCAGGTCCTGGAGTGGTTCATGTAGCTAGGCAGGCACAACAACCATGGCCAAGAGAGAAGAACCAAGCCTTGGAGCTGGAGTCCTAAGCAGGGCATTGCCTTGGCAGCCTGTGCTTTGTTTTCCCTTGCTCAACAGTATCATCACTCTCTGACTGCTTATAGCCAGGAATGCTGCCTTAGGGCACAAAGCTGACCCGGACACACAGAAATCAAATGCACTAAAGCTCTGGAGCATTTGTTCATCCTTTTGCTGTATCCAGTTTCCACTTGCAGGCATGCTGCTGTCACCCTGGCACCCACCATGCCGGCTCTGGGCCCAGGAATGCTGCTCTGGCCTGATCCACTTTCCTGTTCCTATCAGTTTTCCATTGAAGCTGCTCTTGATTTACACAGGGAGAAGTGAGAGAGGCTTCCTATGCTCAGGCACAAAAACGTGCCCATGTGCGACATTTCCCCATGTGAGCTGCACTCTCAGATCCCAGAGGTGTGCCCACAGATCTCCCACCACAGAAACCATACACTTCCAAGCAGCACATTTTATTCCCTTTCAAAATTGTCCTTCATGTGTTCAGTGAAAGCAAGGATCCAGTCCTGTTGCAAAGACAAGTGGTAACCCAATATTGCAGCATCATGATCAAATGTGTTCAAATGCACTGATCCAGACAGCCACAAGCTATCACTCCAAAAGCATCTCTGCTGGAAATTCAGCTGGGCTGATTTCATCCAAAGGCAAACTTCCTCTTTCTAAAAGACAGTGCAGGAGGCCCCACAGCTCAGGAGAACCAGCTAAGCTGGCTTTGCCTGGCTGCTCAAGCACTGAAGGGTATCTGAAACATTATGCAGCTTACAGGGAAGCTGAGGGAGGATGCTCTAAAGGATAAGGAGGAAAATGGAGAAAAGTAGTCCTGAAAACAGAGGCAAGACAAGACCCTTCAGTGGATTCAGCTGCAAGTGGGAGAGTTTGGAGAGGAAACCTGAAGGCACTTCCAACTCAACTCCTGCCCTGACCCCTGTGTCTCAATAGGAAGTTTTTTCAGAAGGCAGCATGCAATATTGGATCCTCGAGCCTTTGCATCAGAACCCATCTGACCACTACCCACAAACCTTGAGCGTAAGGATCTGGTTAGAGCGCAGGGCTGCAAGGGTGGTACTTAGGTATTCCTGGGGAACAGTGAAGACACGTGAGACAAACGGGGTCAGTCAGACAAACAGCATTTCTCAGGGCAAATGGAGCATGGCTGGTTCCCCTCCTCTCGAGTGGCACTTTGGAGCAGCTTGAGTGGCCATCTCACCCCAAATGGCAGCCCCAGTGCCTGGGCTCGTCTCCCACAGCAGCACAGGCCATACAGGCTCATACAGACAAAAAAATAGGAAACTACAACAAGAGCCAAGGCACATACCCTAACCCTGTATTTCCTTCCTAAGAAAACAAATATGAAACAAAACTGAAACAACACCCCTGGTTTCTCAGGATGCTGGTTTTCATTTCCTCACCCAGAACATCTGACAAAGAACCTTGTCAAACAGAAAAGCAAGAATAAATTGCAATTTGGTCAGCAGTGTCACATTTTTGCAACAAGACCCATCCTAATTTTCATTCAGGGAGGAAGAAAAAGAAAAAAAAAAAGAAAAAATCCTGCACCTCTGCTGGCTGATCTGTGCCTCTGGCTCGCTGAACTTTCAGTTCAGGACAGCCTGTCCCTGAGTTGATCTGAGGACAGTCACCCTTCCTGTGAGCATGTCTCAGCTTTGAACAACTCATGGGCTTTTTATAATGTTGAGCTTGGTGCCTCATGAGACCAAAAGTATCTCCATGGAGCCAAGCAAACATTGCTGGGATGTGAGGCTTTGTACCCACCCTTTTCCCGCTGTCACAGCCCTGCAGCTCATCAGTCACCCTACAACCCACCAGACCAGTGTGCCTGTGCCTCCAGGCCTGAGCCCAGGCTACTTCCAGGGATCCACCAATTCCCTTCCCAGTGTTGCTTTGGGTCCTGCCACTGCTTTTCACCTTGAGCGCTGCGGACAGCCAGAGCTAAGGGCTGTAACAGGAACTCAGGACACTGCTCGGGTGACCAGAGTGCTGGCTTCTTTTTAACATAACAATCCAGTGAGCCAGCTCACTAAATAAACACAGCTGACCGGCTGTTATTGCACGGGGGACTGGCATATACCCACGGCTTCCTTTTCCCTTGCTGCCAGCCGAGCTCTCTCCAGTGCCTCTGCTGCTCTGACCCTGCTTCCTGCGGGCCAGGGACCAGAACCCAGCTGATTATCCAGAGGCCCATCAAAAATAAACAGAAAGCTCTTAAGCCTGTCTCCCTGTACACCCAGATTACAAATTCCAGCCACTTCATATGATGTTGTTCCAATGCATTTCCAGTGGATTTTCAGCACTCTGGTTGTTTTTAGAACTGGTTAAATCCCCTCAAACCCCATGATGTATTCTCTCTGCTCTTGGCTGCAGCACATGCTGGCCAGGCCAGGGTGAAGAGGCAAGTGGGGCAACATATTAGCTTTCACTGAACAGTTGCTGGCATCACCCCTCCCTCTCAGCCTCTTCCTGGGAGGCAGAATGCCCACCAGGCTTGGGAACTGTCACGGGGACAAGCCCACTGGGGACCTGACACAGCATCATGGCCAGGGGGTGCAGGGTTACCCTCAGGCAGAGAGCACAATCCCTTGCCTCTGTGCAGGGATGACACCAGCATGAGGGAGAAGAAAAAAGGGAGTAATGATGACAACCCCACACTGCTCCTGGCCACACAACCACAGTAGCAGTGGAAGCAGCACAGAGCCAGTGCAGCAGCACAGAGCCTGAGTGGGTGACCTCTACTCCTCTAGAAACCCCGAGTTTCACTGGGTTTTGAGATAAAGACATGGACCTTCCCCTCTCCAGCACAAAGCACAGGAGGGTCTCCAGGAAGCAGAATTGACAGCAGCTATCTTAGGGGTCAGCTCCGGTGGGCAGGAACAGACCGGAGAACCGACATCCCTCCAGGAAAACCTTATCTGCTGCTTTTCTGCGAAACACATCAATCAACCAAGCACTGCCCTAGGGCCCAGATGACGCAGCTTGTTAATGAAACCATCTCTACTTCCAACAAAAAGCCGGTCAGACGAAGGATTAACATGCAGGAAGGCACAGAACAGAGGATAATAATGCTAATGACTTACCCTGTGCGGGTACTCTGCACACTGACCCTGTGAGAGACAGGGATTAAAAAGGAAAGAGTTTAAGCCACAAACAGAGGGGACCAAAATAGGCATGCAGGGTCAGATCCAGAAGGTGTAAATCATTGTGACTATATCAACTTCAGAGCAGTTATGTCAATTTGCACCTGATAAGCACCATGCCTCCCACCCCGATCCCCTGAGCCCTCTGCTCTTGCTGTACTCCTCACTCACAGCTAAGTCGAGCAGCACCAAGTCCACCATGTCCCTTGCACTCTTTTAATTTAATTTTTAACATGGCTTCTGTTGAAATTACCTTTTCTCCTTTTTGTCCTGGAGGTCCCTATAACAGAAAAGTGACCAAAAAAAGCCTCAGTAAATGAAGGAGTTCAGTGAATGCAAGGGGAAAGGGATTTGGAGGAGGGAAGGATGGGATAGGGAGGAGATACTCACAAGTTGTCCCCTGGGACCTGGAGCACCCTTTAAAGAAACACAGAATTTAACATGGGATGGTTTTCCATTCACAGTGACAAGAAGGCAGCGTATGGAAGAGGTGAAAAAAACGATCTTTTAAAAACAATTGTGAAGAAAATTCCCAAGAGAGATCCAGGTTCCCTTTGTTATTCTGGAGGACTGAAAATGCACACATGCCCTGGCTTCACCACAGGGGGGAAATATTAAAAGGAGGGTGAAAAATCATCAGGAAAGCACACCCTCATTGTTCCCAGGACCTCAGCTGATAGTGTGTCTCCTTGGCAGAGGCACTGGGATGGAACCAGAAGCAGACAGGACTGATGCCTGAGCCTGCTCTAGGATTGTGCAATAGGGGAGTGGGGAAGGAGATTGTCAACATGTGCTTGCCAGAGGGCTATACTGACGTTCAGGCTCCAAAAACAGAATTACAGAATTAGCAGAAGAAAACATTCAACACTTCAGTGAGCGAAGGTGACTACAAGAGCTGCTCTCTTGACATACTCATACTTGGGATTTCATCATCAGAGAAGTCAAAAGGAGCAAGACAGCATTTGGGTTTCCATCAAGTGCAGTCTAAGTTTATAATTTTCAACCAAAAGCATTTTAGTATGATGCATACATGAAACAGAGCTTCAAGAGCGGGGGGAGAAAAAACCACATTTAATACAAAAAATCTGCTTTTTTTGTTGTTGTTAGATAAGTTGAAAGCTGCCAGATGGGTTTCCAGAAATCTTTCCATCAACTTTTACTTGTGCTATGAGGCCAACCATGAAAAATGTCAGCTCCCAGAATATATTTAAAGAACATAATTGCTAACTGCAAGGAAAACACATCCCATGCGTAACTAGAGAGTTGCTGTTGTGACATGATGAATCTGATAGCCATAATGCAAAAATTACAGACATGCATCCCAGCACTACTATTATGAAGTTACAGAATTAGGGATGCAGCTAATGCATCAGCTGAACTAAGATTGCTGCCCTGCCCATGAGCTGAAAGGCAACATCATTTCAAACCAACCCATTACCCACAGACAAACATATGCATTTTTACCATCTCTCCCTTCTGTCCAGGATGACCCTGCAGAAGAAAGAAAACACGCATCAATCAGCTTTGGCCACTGCAGTCTCTAGAAGATGTTGATTTAACCCACTTCCCCCTTACCTCGATAGGAGCCCAGAGTTATTACACCTCTAAAGGAGGATGCAACACTGGAGCTTTGCCCACACACTTGTGGCACACCTGTGCCCACACACAGGACACTGCTCCCTGCTACCCAAAATGCTCAGAACAAAGTTTTGCAGGAAGAACTCAGGGAGCCAAGGCTCTTCAGGGCATGGCTGGATCATAGTTAAGCCCTCTTTGGGCTTCCAGAGCAGCTTCTGCTGAGTGAAGTGTGTGCCCCCAGAGCAGTGCAAGAGAGGTGCTGTTGTGTCTCTCCTGGGGGTGATGTTCCTCATGGCAAAAACAGGGTCCTGCTGCAGGAAATTAGATGCCAGGGGTATGTGCTACAAGCTCTTTCTCCATCACAGCACAGCTAGAAGGGTGTGGTGGCAAACCTGCTACATGGAGCTATGTGTTTCATATCCACTATCCCTGGAGAAGTAGCTCATTTGTGCCTAACTCTCTAAAGGATGGGAAGAACTCAGGTTTCTACTACAAAGCTCTAAGGACAGCATGGAGCTCTCACAGAGATCTTTAGGATCCTTCCCTCTTCTACTGCAGTTCTTTTTGGCACAACAGCAAAGAGAAGGAAGCTGTTGGATAAAGCAAAGGGATGATACCCCGAGGATCTGCTCTGCCTGTCTTGATTTGGGGTGGGAGTGCCTCCTAATGCTTTCCCCAAAGAGCCAAGCTGCCACACTTGTGAACCGCTATTTTATAGATTTGCCTAGAAAGGAATAGGCCATACTCTGCCTTCCTTAATCTCCTGACTCCTGCATCTCCCCCAAGGCATCTGTGGCATCCTCCTGCCTGCCAACCTCCTGATTTTCTTTTAATCCATGCATGTGCATGACACTGCAAAATAATCCCCTTAAAAACATATGGTCTAACACACAGGCTGTCAGCACAGTGGGACCTAGCAGGAGGCAAGGCAGGAAGCCTGCAGAGAAGTTGTTTGCTTACCGGTTTGCCATCCAAGCCAATAGGGCCCTGAAATAAAACAGGAAAAATGATGAGAAATGCTTTCCCTGGGTTGTCTGTCCATCTGCCTCAGGAAGCACTATGTGCCACAAGACTGCATGGACTGGGGTGACTCTCCCTGCCCTGCTGTGTGTCCTGGCAGGTCCCTGGCCCACTGATTTCAAGTTGCTTCAGCAGGGACCTGCTCACTATCAGCACATTTCAGCAGCAATGCTGGACACAAGAAAAAAAGCAAGGAGGGATTCACAGGCAATTTGCGAAAAAAGCCTCAGAATTTCAAATTTTACAGTGTTTGGTAAACTAGTTGAATATCAGCAGCTTTTCTCAATGCTTTGATTTAAAAGGGCACCCACCTTCGGGAGAAGAGGAATTTTTGCAAATGACACAATAATAAGTGTCCCAGGGAAGAGGTGACATACAGCTCAGCACATGCTGAAGGTACTGTTTGATGAGAAACAGCCTCCACTGAGCTGTCCCACCCAGCACTTTCTCATGAGCTGGGCGATTCGTTTTCTGCTCCTCCAAAAGCCAAAGACCACAAGGGCCTGGAGAGGATCTGCTTCTCCTCAGCCCAGGGGCAGCTCACAGCCCCGCTTTCCACAAAGGGCAGAGCTGTGGAGCCCGGTCAGACAGCTCAGAGGCTGCCAATTCTTCCCATTTTCCAGGCATGAGAGTCTCCCCCGCAGACCTGCTCTGGCACATCCAGTGTCCTGGAGCAGCTGCTGAGCTGTCTGGCGGGAGCAGGGATGTGGAGGGCGTTTGTGTTTGCCTTACACTTCCTAGCTGTCCAGGATAAATGCATATGAATAAATAGCAACTGTTCGAGTTCTTCAGCAGCCTCAGTGCTTCAGAGAGTGCTGCCAGCAACTGCAGGATTGAAAGGAAATTTGCTTTGTCCTCTCCTGGGCATATTCTCTGTTCCCTTGCAACTGTGTTGGAGAAGAATCTCCCCTCATGTCTCATGTCCTTTCCCTTCAATATGACCAGGGCCCCTTTTGGATCCCTTTTATATCCTTGCTCCTATTGGAACATTACCTAAAAGCACAATTAAAGTTGGAATTTCACCTACTTAGGGATTGTTTTCTTTGTTTGGGATGGGGGTACTTCTTAGGATGGTGTTCTTTTACCAAACAGATCTGGCTTTACTATGCTGTTTTAACACTTGGTGGTTTTTTAAAATTAATTTCCTTTCAGAAAGAAACCTTGTGTGGTTTGGGTTTGGTTTTGGGGTTTTTTCCCTAAGTATCATTTAAAAGAAAAAAAAAAAAGTAGAAAAACAAATGAAGAAAAAATTACTTTTTCCAGTGATATCAGATCAGGTCATTGGTTTCAGGAAGAAGTGATGAGATACAAGCATTTATGAGGCTTCCTGGCAATATCACACATCCATACCTCATAAATTAAGAGTTACACTTACCGGGAATCCAGGAAAACCTCTTGTTCCAGGCTGTCCCTGGGAAGGATGAAACAGAGACAGAAGTTTAGAGGAACTGAAATTAATTTTGATGGACCCTAAGCCCTCTCTACAGAGCCTTTCCCCCAGCCTCTAACCAATTATCCTACAACTCTCTGAAGAGATACTCAATTCCCCTCCAAAGGGAAAGTGTCTTGGGAAAGAGGTGAAATCTCACATCCCCACTCCAACTCGTACAGGGCCAAGAAAATGCTGGAGCAGTTCCAATTTGGACTGCAAGAAGTTTCCTTGAAGTTTCTACATTAATTAAATGGGTGTCCCTAGCCCATATGTTAGGCTTTTGGAGTATATTCCAGAGGCTGAGCTCATTTTATGGCAATTCTTGCTGCCATGAACCTGAGATGTTTAATGCAGAGTGCTGTGTTCTGTGCAAGACAAGCCTTGCAGGTCACTGGTATCTGTGATACAGAGCCATTCCTCTGCTCCTCCTCCTCTCATCTTATGTCCCAGCTCATTCATTTTCCTCACAAATAATTCTGGAGATGATTTTTTTTAACGCTTCTTTTTTTTTTTTTTTTTTTTTTTTTGATGTTTTTTTTTTGTTTGTTTTTTTTGTTGTTGTTGTTGTTGTTGTTGTTTTTGTTTGTTTTTTTTTTAATCTTCTGAGAGTTAAGACAGTTAGGCAGTGTGATGAATGAAACATGATCACCAAGTTTTTTCCCCCTGCCTCTTTCTGGCTAGCCACACTGGCTACCCATTTGGGATCAGGTACAGCAAACTCTGGATTGGGAGGTGTTTGTCAGCTTCTTCACCCCCTACTTAAAAACACTGAGAAGAGGAAAATGTCCTGGCTGTTAATTTTTTACAGTTCTTCAGTTTTTGGGACCTGGGACATCCCAGGTCACAGTTACCATAGCTTTGTCAGTATCCAGTAAAGATATCACTCATTTAAGGATTTTTTAATCTCAGTTCCCCCCCCAAAAAAGCATGAGCCAGGTAAGGAAGCACATGGTCCATATGTCCCAGACTTCAGCAAATCTAGAAGCACACTCATGCAGATAGATACAGCTGGATGAGGTAAATCCTGTGCCACACTCACCAAGTGACCACCGTGGCACCTTGCCTACCCTGAAAGCTGTGCTATGATGCCAAAATGCTCAGCTTCTTTATGTGTTCTCTCATTTTGGGGAAGAAAATGCTTTTTTCAGCAATTTGAGCTACCATGATTGGAGTCCTGCAGGGGCTTTCTGGGAAAAAGCTGGGCATAAACAGGGTGCCTCTCTGCCTTAACCAGAACGATCCCACATGGTGCTGAGGGAAGGGAAGGTGAGGATGGGCCTCCTGGGCTGTGAGGCTGAGATTTGCCACAGTGAAGCAATGACAATCCTTTGGGAGAGACCTCAGACCTATGCTGACAGGGAAAACCTTCACCTTCAGGTAACATCTCCAGCCATCCTCTGTTTGCAGAGAGACTCAGTGAAAAATTACCTCTACAGAGGATGGGCCCAAACAGCCTCTTTGCGAGGTTTGAGGGATGCCCCCACTACAAAATGCTTCATGTTGCACTGAAGAGTTCTGGTTTTGTACACAATGTTAGCAGGACCTAATTGCATCTGCACTGTTTCTTTAGTTCTGCAAAGTTGAACTTGGTCGGCTTTGCTTTGTAAGATACACACAAAACCAGCTGGTCCTGTTGGCTAGTGACCAAAAGGGAAGATAGGCTATAAATTAAAGGATCTGTCCACTGCTGGCTTCTGAAAAGGCAAGAAGCAAGAAAAGCCTAGCCACAATTCATTAATTTTGGTTCCCTGTTGGACACCTCCCTGACAAGAAGTGCTAAAAAAAGAATTTGGGAGAAAACCTGGAAATGGTGCAATTTGGCTTCCTCTGTGGACTACAGACTGTTGCCTCTTTCTCCTTGGAGGACAGCAAAGTCATTTGCACGGTATCACGCCAAGACAACAGTTCAGCAGCGAGCGATTCCAAGAAACTGTTTTTATTGGGTGGCTGGTTTTCCTTGTCTCCTTTTTAAAATGTTGATTGTATGAAGCATGTAATCCCGGGAGCTGCCAAATCATGGAGACGGTCTGTTTCTGCCACTATCGGCACACTGTCCCTCTCTGGCCAGGAGTTAAGCAGCTCTGAGCTCAAGCGAAAACTTCAACTTCCAAACAAAAATCTGGAAACTATTTGTCATCCCACATCTTTCCGAGTGGCCCCTTGGCCAGGGTTTCCGTGTTTGTCTTCTGTGCTCAGCCATCCTTCTGACCTATCACCAGCTCCCCAGGAAACTGGATCATCTTCACAGTAGGCTTTGCAGGGGGAAAGTGTGGAGTTGGGCTAGTCCTGGCACCTCAGGGGTTTGACTGGTGTAGGCAAAACCCCGTTTTAGATACCATTTGCCATCTCATTTTTCTGCTGCTTTAAAGATGCAACGTTTCTGCACTTTCCCAACAGCAGCAAAGGCAGTAGCACAGACAAAAATTGTCCTGCAGCCCAGGCATGTGTCCTTCAAGAAAACAGCGGTTCCGGTCTCTTTCGCAGGACCTCCACAGACAGGAACTGACGGCTTTTCTCTCTGATTGCTATAATTACACAGTTCAGAAAGCTGAGAACCAGAACTTGTGAGAAGCAGCAAAAGCAACAGGGCATTTGCCCTCCAAAATCTGCTGTTTGTGGTCTTGCAGGGTGGTCTTGCTCAGACCTTGGTTTGAGAGACTTGCCAGCCCTTCTTCCTTGCCTGGACACATGGCCAGGGACCATCTGCCAGGCATAAAACACTTGGGGAGAACCATTTGGGTCCTGAGCTTTGGTTCTGTCACTTCCCAAACTCCAGCATCCCAGGCAGGTGGGCCTGGGGACCAGCAAAGCTGTTTTTTATTAGAAACACTTGTCATGGGGCTTTGGGAAAATTAATTGGAAAGCCAGATGCAGCCAAGTGTTTGCACTGCCTAGGTCTCTCTCACTTGACCTCTGCTATGAAACAAAGGCTGCCAGCAGCCCATCCTCTCTGCAGGTCAAGGACGGTGCTCTTCACAGGTTAATCAAAATCGGAAGTGCCTACTGAGAGGCAGAGAATTGAATCTCCAGGTCTTTTTTCATGGAAATCTCTGGTGGAGGCTGTACAGGGATGGAGTGGAGAGGTCTGGCTGCATCCACACAAAAGCAGAGGCTCGATGGCTGAACCGAAGTGCAAGAAGCATCCAGCATTTAGGGCACATAAACACTCCAACCCTTCATTTTGGTCCTTTTTTTATGACCCTGTCCTTGCAAAAAGCTTTGTCTGGCTGACTCCTTGCACCTTGTAGGGACACTTTTGCTAGAAAGAGGGTGCAAAATCCTGCCTTTTGTCATTTCCCCAGCCAACTAAGAGACTCTCCAGATAGGGGTAACCATGCTGACAGAGCTTCCAAGATTTTGTGTACCTGACAAAGACCTCTGAACTACGCATCTTTGTGAGATCCCCAGTCACCCACTTAGCTCTGATCCTGCTCTTCATTAAAATCAGGGGGCTTGTACCCTGCTGATAAAACCAAAGGCTAAAATCAGCCAGGCAAAGGGAAAATTTTCTACAAAAGTGACAGCAGCCCTGTTACAAGGAAATTTGCTTCTTCCTTTTAAATTCATGAATTTGGTTTCCTTGCTGAGAGAAGGCTTTTTATTTGTCCTGTAGTACTAGCTATAATTTCATTATATATAGTATATAATAGCAGTATAAAACCAAGGCTGGCTCAGCATGGGAACCACATTATATGGGGTTTTTGCTCTTTCCAGCTGATGCTGAGTCCTTATGACCCTCCTAAGACTTTCCCAGTAACTTACCCACAACCTGCATCAGGCAAAAATAAAGAGAAAAGCCACTCACGGGTGGACCACGGGGCCCAATGATAGACATGCCAGCCTCTCCTGGAGCACCCTGCAGAGAGACAAAGCCAAGGAAAAGGAGTGAGACAAGTCACATCAAGACTGGGGTTAAACGAGGGTGCCTCAGGTGTAAGACCTTCAGGGCTTATTGGGCAGCTTCTGTTCTGACCTCCCCCAGCTTCTGCCTCACACTTTGGGAGAAAATATGTCCTTTAGAGCTGCTCAGATGTGCCAGAAAATGGAAGCTGCACAGCAAGGAGAAGTATAAACACATAAAACACTTTCTGGCAAAACAGAGGTTCTGCCCCATTGCAAGTGTGAAAAATGGCCTGAAATTCTTTCTGTTTCCTTCCTGCAAGTTCCAGGAGGATTGTGTCCTGCAGAGGAAAGAAAAGAAAGAGGGATGTGCTGGGCTTCAGGGACATGGGAGCTGCGGGCAGCTTATTTGGTTGCCTCCAGAAATGCTTCGCTTGTGTACTTCTCAAACTCAGCTGAGATGTGGATGAAAACAAAGCAAAGGGCTTGCTGAAAAAGTAAAGAAAAACAGCTGCCTCTCCGATTCCTAGCAACCCACAGAGTGTGATGGGCAGGACATGTCCCTCTCTTTGAAAAACATGGTGTATTCCTGAGAGGCAGCTCCAGAAGCGCCCAGGGCTGGGGAACCTTGGGATAGAGCATCCCATAAACCAAGCAGCCTGCAAGAAAGCAGAGCACTCTGCAAAATAAAGCTGTGGCCTGATGAGGACTTAGGGCTCTCATGGAGAGCTTTGGGGAAGCAGGGGCAACCAGGAGTGATGTTTTTTTCTGTTGTTTGTTTGTATCTATCTGCTGTCCCTTCATGAAAACTTTGGCCAGAAATAAATGCAAGGACATGCAGAGAAAAAGTAGAATGGCTACAGTTAGGAAATTCTGGTCTGTTGGATAATGTTGGTTGGCTCCACTGAGCAAACAGCAAACACAAGAACAAAGAATCTCTATCCTGTTTCACCTTTCCTTGTTGTGTTTTTCTCTCCCTGTCTACTATGAAGAGGAGCAAACAGGCCTGGTATGGTAGTGCATGGATGACACCCCTTTCTCAGGTAAATATTCACCTCTTTCCTAGTTTCTACACGTTGTTATTCAGTTATTCATGCATCCCAAACACCTCCATTTCCCTGCTCTCACAGGTGGGAGGCACCTCAGTTCTGGGGAAAACACATGAACACTGAAATGCCAAACACTTCAAAAAAGTAGGATTGCTTTGTAAACCGGCACTTGTTTGTGGGTACAAATCCCAGCTCACTGCACAGCAAACAGTCTGTGAGATGGTGTCACACAGACTTAAACTACACCATCAGCTTTCTTCAGGAAGAAGAGGTCCCACTCTGTCAAAAATAGGAGCAAGTTGTGCCACTTTATTCCTTGCCCCAACCTGCACCAGGGATCAGGCTAACTTGGGAGGTAAAGGGGAGCTGCAGGTTGGTTGGGGCAAGCAGAGCTGCCAGTGGGGAAGAAAGTCAATGGTTAAAATCCAGGAAGCCTAGAGGGAAGGCCTGTGTGTGCCCACTGGCTCTTATGCTGTTAGTAAATTGTCATAAACAAGAGACACAGCATCTTTGGAGGCTGACTGATCTGAAAGGAATTTGGGAAATATATTTGCACTGACACAGAAGATGGGGCAGCCCAGGGGTGTGGAAGCCCAAAGGTGGCTGCAGTGGCCATGACTGTGACCAGGGTGGCCCTAGAAGAGGGCAGTTTGGGGGTGCTACAGGCTATGAGAAGCTGACTCACCTTCTCTCCAGACTGCCCTTTTAGTCCCTGCGTCAGTGGCACCCGTCACAGCCACATGCAAGAAGGTGCAGGGAAGAGAGAGAGGGAGAGAGAGAGAGACAAACACAGGCATCAGCAGCAAAGACAAAGGCACGCTCTCCTGCCCCATATCCCTGGCTATGGGGCTGGGATGAGCAGGGTGGCCTCAGCTCCTGCCCCTGTCCTCTTCCCCATCCTCACCATGGGATTCCCAAGCAAGAAGCAGCTCCAAAATACAGCCCTTAGCCAGGCAGGGGAGGTCCCGCTTCACTCAGGGCAGAGTTATTTGGAAGGGGCAGCTGCCAGAGGCAGGCAGGGGTGCGTGTTAGCAAACCCAGAGTCAGCAAGCCCAGCTGGCGCACGAGGTGGCAGCAGGAAACACCCAGCCAGGGAGATGCTGAACCAGAGGAGGGCCTGGATAGTACAGCAGGTGAAATGGAAACCCATCCCCAGCATGGATGTGGCCTGAAGGGCTGGTCAGGGCTTGCCTGCTGAGACAAGGAAAGCCCCTCAAGTGTGGGGCTCAGGGGGAGTAATTTTGCTCGCACTGACACCTCACAAGGATGATCCTGAAAGCACACATCCCCCACCCCACCCAGATCCTGGGGGCTGGAAGAGAATGGGGAAGGTAAGGCACACAAAAGAGGGTTTGACTTACCGGCCGCCCAGGGATTCCCATCGCACCTTTGTCTCCCTGGCAATTAAGGCAAAAATCAGAGGCAATTGGTAATGGGGTAAAAGCTAGGTCATAAAACAGCACAAATGAACAGCTTCATGCTGTGGTGCAAGTGTCCAAGGATTTTGAGGAGAGAGAAAGTTAAAGAAAGGGTGTCTGCATGCGCCCAAACCTGCCTTTAGAATATGTGTGAGCCACCAGTTCATTTCCACATATGACAGACTCACACATCTTACAACAGGAATTACATATAGCAATTTAGGCAGCAAAAGGAGGACAGGAGTCTCCAGTCAAAGTACCATCCCAATTTCCAACACTTCATAAAATCCAGGTCCTGGGAATTGGCTTCCTGCAGTAGCCAACTGTCAGGTTTTTCTCTTTCTTGACCTAAGTCATCTGTGTGTTAGCTATTTATTTGTAGAGTTATCACTTTAAAACACAATTCTCTTAGACTTGAAAATACTGTCCTGTCCAGAAGCAAGAGAAAAATGTGAGAACACAAGCTGATACAGGAAAAAGCACGTCTGGAAGAAGACATATGAGCAGCTGTTTTCAGAGTTCTCTACCCCTCTGAGATATTTCCCAGTGCATTGTCAGCATGTGAGCAATCCTAACAGCGGTTTAGGGAATGACTTTGGGTCAGGTGACATTGGACAGAACTTCGTAAACACATGAGCACAGGAACAATGACAATATTCTTCACCCACTCACCTACAAGGCAGTTGGCTGCCTCTTACAGTTAAATTATACTATGCAATTTAAAAAAAAAATCACCCCCTCTGCATTCCTGGTCACCGAAACTGAAGGCTGTGCAAATCTGGAAGATAGCAGCTCATTGCTAAAGGATCTTGATGATTATGGCTTCGGCAGCAATGTAAGTTTTGGTCTATATTTTGCAAAAATGACGTGATAATAACCCCTCAGTTCTGTTTCCAGTGAAGTTTGGGGTTTCCTTATGTAAAACAGAGTGTTCCTGCCTGTGGCTGACTGTGTCTGTAAACATAAACCTGGCTTTCTGGTTTCTGCAGCTGGAGACACCAGCCCCATCGGTGCCACCTCTTCGTGCCTTCCCCCACGTTCAGTCCCAGTGCGTGTGAACATAATCTGAAATCTCTGCAAGGGGAAGGCACTTAGCTCTGTTTGTTCTTCTGGGTGTACACAAAGGCTGTGCATCCCAAACTCAAGACATTATTGCTTGGGATCAAACCATTCCTTGGTGGATGTTTAGCCACTTCCCTCTGTGGAACTGGGGGAGCATTCCTTTCCATGCAGCATATGTTGTGATAAACTGAAGAGCTATAAATGCTTTGCAAAAGCACCCCTTGCAGATGGATGAAACCCTAAACAGCTGCTTGATTTTAAGTTTTGTTGATGAAATATTATGGGAAACTGCTTTCTTCTAGGGTTTTAGGTGGGTTTTCAGTCCTGCTAATATGTGCCTGTATCTGTGTGCCAGCAGTGAGTGAAACTTCTGGTGTCAGCATCTGGCTCTGAGATTACTTTGTGCCTGCTGCAAAATGTAACACTGAGCTTTCCTCTACTTTTAGTCCCTTAAATATTGCTTTCCTCCAGAGCTGAGCCCAGGCTGATTTCCCTCATGGTTTTTGAGGTAAAAGCTGAATTTGCTTCTTCGGGCTCTGCTGTGGCTGGTGCCCAAGCAGGAAGAGCACAAAGTTGGGGCTGAGCTGTGTCAGGTCTCCCGTGAGTACCTGGAGTGGTACGTGACGGCACAGTGTCTGGTATGTGACTATGCAGAGTTGCAGCTCTCCAAGTAATAACAGCAAAGGGGGAGCTCCCAGTAGGACAGCAAATAAATGCCAGATGTTTATAAGGAAAGGTTGTCTGTGACAGGGAGCCAGGAAAGAGCACTCGTGGGTGGATGATACCATGTAGGTTGGTTACAAAGTCACGCAAAGCTGCCTGAAGCTCCCGCATCAGATTTAAAAGAGCATGAAAGGCAACCAGCAGCCTCTGTCCTGAGTCAGGGGAGAGCCAGCTGCACAGTTTACATTTTCTTCATTGGTAAACTGCCTGTTACGGCTCGTGCAGTCTCCAGGTGAGCCACAGCCTCGGGAGCAGGGAACCAGCATGAGGAAATCACACTGCTGTAATTCCAAACCCCACACTCCTTCCTCAGTCATGACTAACTCAGATGCAGATGCTGTTATTACAGATTTTTGCATTTGTCCCAAGGTGACTTAGGCCTTCTAAATCCTGCTGCAACTGGTAAGTCTCATCAGCAAGAACAGTGCACATTGTGCCTCTTCAACCAGACCCTGAAAGACATCTTCAAAAGTAGTGTTTTCCACACACAGGAGGGGTCGTGAGGATTGTGTTACCCTTTAAGTTTGGCCATAAGAAGCTCCTGTGGTCCCTACTCTGTATGAGCCATGTCCTGTTTGCAATACTCCGTTCCATGTCACATCTTTTATGTGAGTCTACCTTCTACTGCCTCATGAGTGCTGGGGGCCTCCTGATCAAGGTACTGCCAGAGAGAGAGAATGAGGGAATGAAACAGAAAAAATGAAGTATTTACCAGAAGCAGTGGCCTTTCTATGAGACCCTGGAATGAAACACACCAAAACAGCAAAAGCTAGCCTCAGACTCTGAAGGCAGGGCTTGATAGAGAGACGGAATCACATGGAAGTGTTTAGGAAACAGAATGGTTAAAAAAAACTCTCCACAGCTCCTTGACCATCAGCTCTGATTGCTTTGGTTTCCTAATCCCCTGCTTGTGAAGTTTTCTCTTCTTTTGGCACAACTCTACCCACAGCTCTCCGCACAGGCTCTGAAGGTATCTGCAAGTCCACAGAGAACAAGCTAATTACAGGGCTTTGACTTTTTTCCTTAGTTTCCATCTGCTAAATATTACTTTTTTTTATGTATGGAATTGCTGCAGTTGCCACAGAAATGTTGCATGATCAGAAATATGAGAGAAAATGTCCGTGAGAGGATCTTTTGCTTCGGATGTGGTCCAGACGGCAAAAGGACTATTGCACGATTTCATCATTTCCTTCCTTCCTTTGCCCCTTTTAGTCCCAATCTCATCAAATATCTTACATGACTGCGGGTTGCCTTTGCCTTCACCAAAGCCTTGACTAACTTCTAGAATAAGGGTGGGAGTATTGGCTGGGCAAGAGAAGAGCATGAAGATTCCTTCTGCTGCTGTGGTGTTGCTCATCCATTTCCCTGGCTTTTGTCCTTGTTGCCCTAGACTGCAAGTGGGGCTCCGTGCATTTTAAATGAGTATTTCTGCCCATCTTCACACTCAAGCCAACACCAGCACTGCGAGCTAAGCCCTGTCACACAATATGTTGTCCTTTGCAAGCTGGGAAACAAAAATGGGAGAGAGACGTGGGGTGGTCATCGCTTTGGGGTCACTATCCAGAACAATAAGTATGACAATCAGCCAGGAAGGAGCCTAGGTTGTTGCTCATAAAATCATTTCCATCTCAATCACAAGAAATATTGGGGGGTGGGATGGGATATTTCCTGTGGTGGCATCACTCGGCTCTTCAGAGGTAAACTCTTGCTCACTGTGACTGAGCCCATCTCACTCACCAGTTGATCAGAAACCCAAGAGGTCTTGAAATGAGACAAGGATCCTGCTAGCCCAAGACAAATTCCACTTTGGATAACAACGCTCAGTCTGCCCAACTTCCTCTTGTTATTTCCATTGGCTGCAGCATTCCTCACAGCCTGTCCTAGAAGTGTGCTTGCGGAGACAGGTTCAGGGGTCGCAATAAGCCAGGATACGGTAGCATATAATGTCAGCACTTCTCTGGTGGTCCCATGTGCTTCTGCTAGGCTTCAATCTCTCATTACAATATTAGGTTTCTAACCCTTTATTGCTGCAGAGGAAGCCTGGAGCGTGCGTCTTCCTCACCCCACAAAGGAGCTGACGGCTCTCTGGAAGACGTCTGTGTTGATCTATTATTTCCCTCTAATTTCTCACAGCAATAATGGAAATGCCAACACCACCATCAATTTTGTGCCCATTTCATCCCTTTAGTGCCAATATAAGGCTGCCCAGGTTGAAGGGGCAGGGACAGCCATGGATGGACTCCACTTGCAGCCGCCTGCAGGGCAGTGCCCTCCTCAGAAAAAGCCGCAGCTAATGCTGAAATATATCCACTTCAGCAGCCAGTCCTGGAAGCCCCTGGGATAAGCTATCRCTGAAGTTTTGCGTGGATCAGGGCTTCCAGCTGTGAAATGCTTTCAGACCTTTTGGCCTGGAAGGTGCAACTTTTTGGAAAACTCTTGTCATTAAATAGGTCTGTGCTCATGTATCTGTGGGAGTTCAGTCTATAGCATTCCAGCCTGATGAAAGGGGAAAGAAAATAGGTTGTGCAGCAACTACTATTCAGAACATCATCTGCAAACTGTTTAAGACATTTTTGTGTGAACAGACAAAAGATGACTACCGTATGTTTAACTTCTCATGTTCCTTCACAGAAAACCTGAATAGTCCCCCTAGTACACAAATACAAACCATTTCCTCTGGAAGGACAGTGCTAGAGACAACACAGCATTTCTTTATAATCTTGAGGGCTATTGATACACAGCTTCAGTCCTTCACCATTACTTCTTCTGGTTCACTGTGGGTCTCATAATAGCAGCAAGAAAAATTTCAGCAGTAACCTAGGTATTTTCCTGAAGCCTAAGTTGTCTGTGCTGAGGTTTTACATTAGCTAACATTTGAAAAGGAAGCTGTCAACACAATTCTTCCTCTGAAATTGATAGTTGCGCAGCTATACTTGAAGGCCCGGCAGTTCAGCCACCCCGCATGAGTAGCAGGGAACAAATCCCTCCAGCTCAGCTCCTGCCATGTGTTTGTGATCTATCTTTCCCTTTTTTTGCAAACACATCTCATTCAGCATGTGGCATCCCATGCATGTGAAGCACATGCAGCCAGTTCCCCCGTGGGTGTGGGGCCAGCGGGTAACACACAGATCTTTGCACCACGTGAATTTGCCATGTCCCCATCCCTGTGCTCCCTCCATCTCCCCCTCAGTGGCTGAGCTGCAGCCAAGAGCAATCCCACCCCAATCCAGGTCCTGAGCTCCCGCAGTACTTGCTGTTTGGGATATCCCAGGCTGCAAAAGTGGCTACCACACCAGACACCACAGATGGGAGGCTGCGAGTTCAAGCCCCACAGACTCTGTGGCAACAGCTTCTAAAACTGTGGAGGTTTGGTACTTACAGGCGGACCTGAAAGACAGAACAAAAATAAACAATAATTTATTTATTTATACAATAAACCCTATCAATAAGAGCTAGAAAAAAACATTACACCATTTTTTGGGCTTGATCCTCAGGCTGCACCTATTTGCTGATGCACTTTCACCAGCTCCCTGCTTGTTAATGAAGGTATCCCCACAATTAGCAGCTGCTAATAATGACCAGGAGTGCAGGGCAGCCTCTGACAGAGGTGTCAGAGCCCTGTGTTGGGAAGGCCATGCAAGTCAGGCTCTTGATGCTGTCACACTCAGTTTTGGCCCTTTGGCACACATGAGAGTGGGGGACTAGTTACTCATATGACTCCCCCCCCACACCCTGCTCACCCCTGGGGACTGAGAAAGTTGAATATGAGGAGGCAAGAGCTGCTTTGCTGGTAAAATTCCTGCCCATTTCCCACCAGCATTGGTGAACTTGCAAAGGTGTGAAATGGTTAATGTGGAAACTACAGCAATTAAACACATCAGTTACTTTTTCTCTTTAATACAAGAAATTTTCCCCTTTTCTTTAGTCTCTGATCCCATAGAAGCCAATCTGCCCTCTTAGAAGAAATTCCCTCAAATCCTTTGTGTTTCTTTCAAGAAAGAGAGGGAAAGCTCTTTTGGAACATGCCAGTGTGGAACAGTGTATCTCCCTCATACAGAATGGTTGTACAATATATATCAGGACTTAAACAGCATATTTCTTTCATCAGTTCCCAGAAAATTCCTCAAAATCCTGACAGATATTGTGTGTGTGGAAAGAAACCCCCAGACTCACTATTTTGTGGTTTCCTCTCTGTGGGGAAAGCAAGACACACCATACAACTGTCAGGAGTTTCTACATTTTCCATACTTTATAGACACTGTGTTTTCTTTTTTTTTCCTTCACACAGAGAGCCAAGAAGTAAGGCTAAGCAGTATAACAGGAGAGCTGACGGATAACAGGCAGCAAACCTCCTCCTTGCATGGGAGGCGGATGTCATGGTGAGCACCGGCAGAATACATCGTCATCCTGAAAATGCCTCTGGCTGAAAGTCCACAAAAGAAACTGGAGACTTTGGATGAACAAACATTTTCCATATTGGAAATCTCTCACTTAGCATGAGTGTCTCATACCAGAATTGGTGACCTAAAATTGCCCTGTCAAATGCCACTATTAGCCACACCTTTCACTGGGGTTGATCAGAAGAGATTCTCTAGAGGATAACTTTTGGTTAAAATACAAAATATAGTAACCACCTTTATGATGACTGACAGAGCTAAAGTCAACACTCACAGCTGGAAGGCTCAACAACTCAAAACACCTCCAATCAAATTTAGGACAGGAGCTCAGGGCAACCCAGATTTGGCTGGTCTGGCAATCGCCCACCATCGGTGTTGATGCTGAGGTCACTGTCCTGCTCGGTACATCAAGTCTAAACAACAAAAGGGCTTCTGATGAGAGAGTTCGTTTAGGAGAGCAAGGTCAGACTCAAATGCAGGAATTCTAATTTATGCCAGACTGGGAGAAAAGAAAGAAAGGGGAAAAAAAGAGAGTTGTTGGAGTCTGGCTTGGATGACAATAAAGTTCTGTGAGAGAGCTGTTTTGGAGAGATTTTGTTTCAGACTGAGTGCCCTGTCACAAGGTCAATGCTTATAGCTTGCCAATGCACGGACTTTATTTCCATTAGCAGCACTACAGACCCTTAATAACCCACCTACCTGTCTGTGTGGACTTGGGGCACTCACAGATTGCATGAAACAAACTGCTGAGCTAATATTAAAAGAAAAGCTTAAGGACATGCAAACCCTGAGCCATCCCTGCCCTTCCAGCCCAAACACAACCAGCCAGCAGCACAGCCTGTAATGGTATTGTCATACCACTGAGAGCAAACATAAACTCCTCTTTGCTCCAGAAGCTCCGTCCACAGAACAGAGTAAATCAGCAATGCTGGCAGCTCTGGGCCTTGCACCCCACACAGATCAAAGGCAGGAGGAACAGGGGAGGCCCATCTCTGTTATGTGCCCCCTATAAAATTAATGGTTATGTGAAGGGGGACTGCACTGTCTTGTGTAAACACACATCAGTGAGCTGCAGGGACACAGTCTAGGCTGCAATAAGTCAATCGGTAGAAACCATCCAGGGACTGGGCTTCAAATGCCAGGATAATCCTTGTGACCCAGGACACAGCGAAGCCCTCAGACAGAGTCATTTCCAAAAGCAACATCATCTTGCATGGGCTGGAGGAGGAGGAGGAGGAGGAAAGATGTCCTAAAGACAGCAGGGAGGGAGGAAGTGCTGCTGGATAAGCAGTTACAAAGCACAGGAGATTCCACAAAGCAAAATAAAGCTTCAGCAAAATGCTTTGGTTTATATTCTGTCACAGTGATAAATAACAAGGTGGAACAGAGTTTCTAAAGCAGCTTGGTCCTTAATACAAACAGTAAATTAATGCACATTAGAGGGAAGAGCACATAAAAGAGGACAGAGATACTTGTGCCTCTACTCTCAACTTCTCCAACCATCAGCAGTGCAGTGGGCTTGGCCCTGGCCAAAGCTCTGGCAAAGTTGCTCTGGCCTGGATAGAGATGCTGGCAACTCGGTAAGCCAAGGAAACAAACCCACAAATTGACCACGTTGCATGGGACCCTTTACCAAAGCCCCTTGAACTGCAATTGAGTCACTCCATCACCACTGCATGTTGTCCCCGTGTCACTTATCTCTTGCAGTTCCAGCCAGTTTGGGGAAAGCATGTGGAAACTGGCCTGCTTGCCCCCACATGGGCCAGCTCTGGGTGGTGGACTCCAAAGAGCTCCACAAACTACCAGGAGTCAACAATCTCGACCGCCACAAGTACCAATCCCACTTATTGGGAGTTCCTCCTCTCCTTACAGCAGGTGCTTTTGAGGTGAGACGGAGGTGGTGCTGCATAGGAGATGAGCTAGATCCTCTTTTCCATATAAACAGTCAACAGAGAGAGGACAATGAGGCAGCAGAGCAGCAGTGATCAATGCAACTGTGAACGCTTCCAAGCCCATTCCATAGCTAAGCCCAGCCAGCAAACAGACCCAGAGCTTCCAGGTCACCAAATTCCTCAGCCTTCCATAGACAGAGGACCCTCACTTGTAATTAGCACCTCCAGATCCTGTGTGTTTTGAACCTGATCTTGCTGGGAGTGGAGCGATGCTGACGCTGGCATGCAGGCTGCAGCACGACCGTCCGCCCACGATGGGCTGCTCAGGAAGCACCTCTCCGTGCCGGCGCCTCGCTGGAAGGCACTGGAGGGTTGTAAGTGACTGTGAGCGCTGTTTATCCAGCTGCGAGGCTTGTGCAGCAGCGGGGGACGGAGGAGGGGACTGAGAAAATGTGTCAGGAGTGGACGAGTGGGAGGAAGCAGTGGTCTCCTGCAAAGAGGAGACCTCCAGAGTACCTTTGAAACTGAACATTGAGAAAACAAAGAATTCTTGTAGGGGTACCCAAGGTCCCTCCAAACATATGGCCTCTGGAAATTGACACCATCTGCACTATCCTTTCTCAGATGCTCTGGTTTTTATGCAGACAGAAAATTTCACTAAAGAAACTCTGCCTTTCCTTAGCCCAAGTGAGGAAATGAGCAGCCACGGATAGGTCCACCTTATTGCATATACAGAAGGAGCACACCTGTGATGAACAGCAAGGCCATGCCACAGAGGTCCCTGCTCATTTGACCTTCCTCAACCTGTTCAACCAGTGACTGACCAAAACCAGTGACTGACCAGAACTGCAATGACTCCTTTTACCCATTCAGGGAGATAAAAAGCCACCCTCCACACTGCAGCCTCTTTAGGCTCAGAAAAGGACATGCTTAGTTTTACAAGTGGTTTGAATTTATCCTAATCTGGAAAGTCCCATGTTCCAGAATATCAGATGTTAAAAGCTGGACACAGAGGAGCAGGTTTGGTGAGAGGCCTTCTGCTGATGACAGAGATATTCCCCAGTTGGACACAGCAATGCTCTCTGGACTGAGAATCATTGAAATTATCCCATCCACTTACAAGCATTTCCTGAAGTCTGGAAGTGTCTATTCTCAAAAGGTTCCCAAAAGCTGTTGCTTATTTATCTTTTCTCTAATTTCTTGGATTCAGGCAGTACAGTGTCTGCAATGTGGGTATCTTCCAGCCTGCTCCCAAAGCTCACATATTCCTCTTGTATAGCATACACAAGACGAGGAGGACAGAGAGAGAACGCCAAGACATTATTGTTGCTTACTTGGGTCATCCTCACTACACACTCCAGCAGCCGGGAAGATGTAAACATGTAATCCATCCCTGTGAGGAAATCCAGCCATTTCACAGACCCAGAAGCCAGCCTCAGGGAGTTAGAGAGATACAGTTACTTCCTGACATTCAGTGCTATGTTAATTGATAACAAGATAGCTGTGGCCACGCAATTAGTTATGAAATACTGATTAAAATGTCAGTGGCCTGAGCATGACCTTAGCCAGGGTGGCATGGAACCCCTAATTCATGGCTCCATGGGTATTCAGTGCAAATTGACCCCATTTTGGAGCAGGCAGACTGGAGCACAAATGATGGGTTTGGCCCAGTTTAAATACTGGCCTTACTGCAGTTTTGACACAACAGATCCAGAGTACTCAAGTCTTCTAGACCCACCCTCCCTACCTCCATCAGGGGACAAATGACACAAGGGGAGGTGGAGGGAACATTAACTCAGAGAAGCTTAAATGAACAGGCGAAAATACCATGTGCCTTGCCATAATTCAGTATTATTAGCAATAGGTGGAATTAAAGACAAAAATATCTTGAAAATAGTAAGAAAAATTTTAGACAACACTGACTACCCAAAGCACAACCTCCAGAAATTTTGTTTCAGGTTTTGTGAGCAGTGGCAGACAATCTGAGTGTATAACTCACTCCAGAGTGCACATGGCCTTTGCAAAAGGCCAGGCCCCTCCAACTCCAAAACATTCTTTCTCAGCTACACCCTTGCAAGAGGTTCTTCAAAGGACT